GGTAGGTCGTTCGGTAGGTAGGTAGTGGTAGTGATTGGTTTTATTTCTCAAAGATTACAGTTTCGCAGTGCTTGGTGTAAACCCGCACTGAATTGCACTGCTAAAACAATTCGACAAATTAAACAATGGGTTACAAATTATTAAAGAAATACATAAATTATTAATAAAATACAATCTACAAATTAACAGATTAAAAGATAACCTCTGAGTAGACATTGTCATAGGTTAAATACATATCGTGCATACAGATTTCAATAAGCCTACTATTAATACATTATTATTGATGACTTGTCATAAATGTGTATATTCAAACATATTAGTTCGGCATTGCATAGTGCTGGTTGAACTATTTTGGGGGACTAGAAATTTAATATTAGCAATCATTGAAACATTCGAGTCAGGGCCGTTGTAAAAAACATTATGAGAAAATAATCTCCAATTATTGATGAATTCTCGTATCATGCAATGGTTGAGACCATACGTCAAAATCTAATACGTTCAAGGTGATAATTCAGGTCAGGTAAAGATCTTTACATAAGAATTAAAATCTAATGAATTTCTTCTCCCAAACTTAACATATGTGCATTACAACATATTTGAATCGAAACTGCAAATACTGGTTGCATTATTGTTGAAGAGTGTTACAAGATAGGGTATGGGACTATTCCTGTAACGATTAGTTCGTGTTTTAATAGTGTCCAATAGGCTGCTGTTTCTTGTTCTTCTACCACTGACGTCTCCCCGGAAGGGGGGTAGCCAATTCCGGTAGGACTCAGACTGTAGTAGTCTTCTTGCGAATGTCTGACAAAGGTGTTCACGTCCGAGTTGCTGTAGTGTCATGAGGCATAGCGTGTTGCAAGCGTCAGTATAGGTTGTGTAGTCAGGCCCAAGGATGATTCGAAAAGCCCTTCGCTGTATTCTTTCCAGTTGACGTCTTTGGGACTGTGTAATGCCCCGCTGGTTGCCAAACTGGGACAGCGTACTCACAAGTGGGTCGGACAAAACTTGTATATATGGTGACAAGATCTTCTCTAGTAACTCCGAAAGATTTGAGTCTTCTCAAGAAGAAAAGCCTCTGGCTTCCTTTCTTGGCCATGTGGTCCACCTGGGTGTTTCATTTTAGGTCAGCTTGTATATGGAGCCCCAGGAGTTTAGCTACTTGAACTTGTACTAGGGGGTAGTTGTCAATTTTTAGTGAGGGTAGTGGTGGAACAGTTTTTGAGAAGTGCAGAAACATCACCTTGCATTTGCGAGGGTAGGTAGGTAGGTAGTTCGGTAGGTAGGTAGTTCGGTAGGTAGGTAGGTAGTTCGGTAGGTAGGTGGGCAAGGCGTGGGGAGGGCGCTGTTGACGCCTGCATGACCCTCAAAAGGTTAAAGGTCATGGGGCATAGAGAAGTCATAAAGAAGTGAAATTTTGTTTTGGGTGTAACTATTGTTCTTTTGTTAGTATATTGATGACGAAATTGTTTACAAGGTAAGTGGGGATTAGAAAAGGATGAGAAGGAACCCTGTAAAAGGTAAAGCACACACAAAAAACATATTGTAAGTTACACTACAATGACTATGTACAACGCAAACCTGTCTATATTAGCAACCGCTAATATTACTATCTAGTTGTTGTCAGATTCGACCACATAGTAATTGGATCCTTGTTGAGCATAAAATGATCTAACACTTCAAAACAAAGTGAAAAGCAAGCTGTTTAATGTCACCAGAATCATTCCGATGCCCTTCAGTCCTATGCATATGAGTTTAACCCCCTATTTTAAGTTGGATTCTTATGAGTCGTGTACTCGTACGTGTGGTCGCTAAAACGAGAAGAGCGCAAAACTGAAAGTAAACGTCCGTGTGTGCGCGCGCAGGTTCCACCTTTTTGAGCTATTCAAAATACATATACGTCACCGTGTATCAATAGTGCCCTTTTTCGTAAGGCGTAATCAGGCCATTTTAGACTTCGTAATCCGTAGGTAGCCACCAAAAATCAACGTAATTCGTAATAGGACATTAGCCGCAAATCGTAAAGTCGTAATCAGCTCTGAGACTTTAACGTAATTCGTACTAATAGGCGGCGAAAATTTTGTGTAATTCGTCATGATCACTACTCCCCCATGCAGGTCCTCATAATTGTCCATAATTGCTCATGGCGCAAGTTCTCTCACGGTAGATTTCGGGCAGTGTGGGCCGTGGTAGCACTAGTTTACCAGCTCTGAAACAAAACGCTTTGCCATTGCTCTTTCCACGAGTGGAACATGTGGCCACACATTGCCTGTTTCATCTACCCATTCCAATACACCATTATGCACAGGTCAGAACAAACCTTATTTTCGCTGTCGATGTCCACACGGACTGAAAATAACAGTGTTACAACGTCGAAACCAAACAATAGGATACAGTAAGGCGGACTGTGTGTTCGTCATCGGTTTCATACGAATGGACTAATGGCTATCCAAATCTACCCACCATAAGGAAAACGGTGGATATTGAGCTTGACTTTAGTTACCATAGGTCATTAAAATCAAGATTTCCACGTCTTTGGACGTACGTGTGGTACGTGTCTGCTAGGAGTTAGTCTTATGGAACGAAAAGTATGTAAAAACGACAAAGCAGAAAAAATATTGGAAAAAATTAATAATGGAAACTATTTGAATATATGGTTGACTTTTCGTGAATAGAAACAGCCCGGCCGGGCCCCGGGTTAGAAATGTGACTATCAAAAGGTAGGAAGGCGGTATCCAAGGATACTTAACGTACGCGTCTATGATTAAAGTACATCAATTGCAGCCAACTTTACTAAAATCATAATGATACCGTTACGGGTGCAAAAGACACTGGAACAATTAATTTCAATGACCTATGATAACTTCATCACTTACATGTAGTGTGTGCGTACGTATTTCTGAAATTTTGACCACTCGAAAGAATGAAGCAATGCCGTGGGTGTATCTTTTATACTTTCCTTTTTCATTTGCCATGAACCATGAAAGTAAATTGATCTGGCCTAATGGCTTAACACAAATTACACGAATGATGAACTAATATTATTTTCAATTCTTATATTAAAGGCTCTCTAACGAAGTCCATTCAAAACTTTTTGTAATCATTTAGTACTAATCAATCAATAAATCACAAGCAAACAAACAACCTTGCAAAATTTATTGTATATCCAACTCTGTAAGGGATATGCATGAATCATGAATACAGGAAGTATAGGCAATAATACACGAAAACTACCCAAATAGTAAGACTTGTAGATCAGTAAGTCCCAATAAAATAATAAGGACGAGAAGTTTACTCATACCAGGACCACACCGACTAGATTCAGTTTTACTTATTTTCCGGAGACAAACTTGGTAGAAGCCCCGGCACCGCGTCAAGGTGTTGCCTCCATTGCCGAGGTAACTTGGGACGCCATCCTGACAACAACCACTCACAGTCCCGACAACATTACAACAAAGTTACGAGTTTCACTCAGCTCACAGAAGTTTGTGACAGAAATGACGCCAGAAGGTGTTTTTGTAAAAGTGAACAGCCAGAAGAGACGAAGGCAATGTTTTATTTGTGCCTGTCTTCTAAGGTTTTAAAAGTTTACATACCTGACTATCTAATATTATTGTTTCTCGGTTAAATCCTACTCTACAGTTTGTTTTGGTTTTTGTTTGTTTGTTTGTTATACATCTAGACTGCCTATTTTTTAGTCTTATTTAAACCTCAGTTTCCTTTAGCTGTTCACAATCTTCTCAATGTCGAATTTTATTGTTTTCTTTGTAACCAGTGTGAGCTGAGTGAATTCCATACTAACATTCAGAAAGAATGACAAATATAGTATGACTATAAGCGGTCATGTCAGGATGAGCGTCGGTTTGCCAATAATTAATGTGCGCCAATTTCCCATGGCTAAAAGGAAGTGCCTGGGACCAAAATTTTGTCAACATGCAGTCCTAGTTTACTACCCTCCCCACCTATTCCGTCCTTGTCAACAAACAAAACCACAGGAAAGACGCTACATTCTTTACATAAACGCATTCAAAAGGGTAAATCTGTTTCCTGTTGGTCCTGATGTTCACCGGCGATCTTCATCCTGCCTCATCTGTATCGTAATGACAGAAAAACAACATACCAAGAACAAGCACACAGACCCAAACAATCAAAATGCGATCTACAGATAACATTTATCAAAGACATAGCATTATTTACTTAGCAGTGAATTCCATCAAACAAGACATTTATTGAAGAGCTTACTAGACATAAAACCTGCATAAGTTAATGAAGGATACGCCACAGCAAGAACAGCTCTCTTTGAGGTCGGAGATACGGAGCCAGGAACACTTCCTTCAACCAGCCAGTCCTCAGGGAGAAGTCTTCGCGTTGTAGAACCCACGGAACTTCCAGTCCAGGGTGGGCCTGTGTTTTGAGAAAAGAGAAGAGAGAAAGAAGGTTCACGTTAATATCTGGTATAATATACAATGTCGACTTGATTTATACAGTACTATAGAACCAGGCAAACACATAGCGGCCTTTTCCAACCCTGTACTGGGAAGAAACTAATTACATGTACTAAATTTACACCAGGATGGAATTATTACACATCAATTAGTTTGTTCATCCATTCGTTTGTTTTTCCATACAGCCTGGTCTTCAGAGCTGAAAGAGCCAAGAAGCAGTCTGTTTCCTTCCAACAGCCAGTCTTTAGGGAGAAGTCCTCGTGTTGTAGATACTCCAAATTCTGTCTTCCAGCACATGGTGTAGCTGTAGTGTTAGAAATAAAACAAAGACACGCGTTAATAACGAGTATAAGGCGCGAATACTGCTTGCTTCACCCTGTCCTGGGAGAACCAAGCGGTACCAAACATCGCTGTCTGCCCTGTACTGGGTGGACTAGACAGACTACAGCTACATATACACTGTACTAGTAGCAAGTACAGGCAAGTTTACTCATTCGCCCATTGTCCCAATCATCCGTTAGTTCAGCTACCCATTCATTCATGCATTCATTCATTCACTTGTCAGCTCCTCCATTCATTCTCGGATGCCACACGGCCTTGACCCGGCGTTTGGCGATCCTGAAACAGAGAAACAAGAACAGCATGAAATTCGCAAGCTTGAGTATCACATATTAGACGTGTGCATTTGAATGTCTTTACTGTTTTTCAATTTCTGACATTTCTGAAATTAAGACATTGGTTTTAACCTTAGTGATTTACTAAGCGTTTGACAGTGTGTGCGAGGAAAGGACGACAACATGGTCAATGTTTTGTTTGTATTGCAAAACACTTTATTCAATGTACTTTTTGTACAGATACATATTGAGCATCATGAACAATTTCGTATCTCCAGAACCTTTACATAAGTTATAAAACCTTCTAATGTATTGGCTATTTAGAAACATCCTGGCAGTGCGTGTGTGCGAATACAGACAGTAGAAAGATACGATATAGCAACGTGGGGAGGGGGGCTAAGAAAAGGACAAGCGCTGAAATTACACCCACACCCCGGGGGGTTTGGCACGAGCCTAACAGACTTTATATCATTATTTACAAACTACTGCTTAACATTTATCAGTACCCGAAGCTACCCACCCTTCCCAGATGGGGCAAAAAAACAAAGCCATGAGTTGGGCCTAAACCCCAGAAATACTATAGCAAGCTATTTATGCATGGGGGAGAAAGACATGTTAATACACTTAAGTCTAAATGACTACCTACTTCTTACAATAATCCAGCCAATTCCTAAGAATAGGTCTTTGGAATTCTGTGGATTTTAGTGGTGTCAATTCACGTGGGCTCTAACAATCATACATTTAAAGCAGAATTCTATCGTGTTTGTGTGCGTGCTTGCGAGTGTTTGCGAAAGAAAGACTCAACTGTTGTAGTGTAAGATTTTTTGTGTTGTAAGATATCTGAATCGAATCGCGCTGCATCATATTTCCAGTCTCCGGGGTTTTCGCGAGTTACTTTTATAAAACGCACGAGTTAAAACTATTCAACGTTTACATCTATACCACGCACGTTTTACAGCTATAACAACGTCGTGAGATGCCCCGCGCACAGCAAGCATAAAGAACAACAATTTAACCACTATTTAATTAAAATACAAACACAACCACGTGAAATGCCACCACTAAGATTCTACCCAAGATTTCATGGAATTTTAACACAGTTCCATGAAAACTGGTTAACTTCTACACAGTAAGTAAGGAATGTCGTGTACCACTCAAAACATTCCTTACTTGTTCACCCATCCAATTCCACAAGAGTAAGTCTTGGGAATTCTATGGATTTTAACATGGCATGTGACACAACATATTCATACAACAAAGCAAAATATACAAGGTTTTCGCGCCGCAAGCCGAATTACAACTATACAACGTTCGCGCGCGAGTTACAAATATACAACGCACGAATTACAGATATACACGAAACGCACGAGTTACTTCTATACAACGCACGAATCTTTTCGTTGCTAAGGCAACGGGCTGCCTTCCCAACAGAAAGATTGTAGATGTAAGACCTGCTTTACATCCGCGTATTGCAAGCGGGGGGGGGGGAGGGGGGAGCAAATCTTTACACGAGGTAGAAAAATAAGAGAAAAGCAAACTCACCCCGCCATGTTACATCCACTGTACGGACTGTACGGGTTTCCTGATTTACACAACTTTATAGCCTGACTTCGGACTGTTCCATTTGTTTCTGCAGGTAGATGATAACGTCACGAAAACAAAGGATGTTCGTTTCACTGCCCAAACGGCGACGCAAGGAAATCTGGAATCACTTTTCCGATATGTATGTTAGTTGCAACATGTATTAGGAATGGTTCATGAGAAACCCACACTTATTTCGTTGTAAATTAAGAGCTAACAATATATTAAACTCCCCTATTTAGGCGCAAACAATGGTTCCACCCATCATCACCTGTAGTAAGTTAATGTACCCAGTTTGTTAGGAAAACTACAACAGCTGGCTTCAATCTTCTCTAACCAATCAGATGCGATATTGATGCAGGAAGCAAGAAACAATTAATTATCATGAAAGTTCATCTGTGTTGGTAGTAATCATAGCAAAAGGTTGAACTTTATTCCAACACACAATTGTACAGGGATCATTTACCTGGTCTGACAGATCCAATCCGATTTGTGTTATAAGATTCTCTATTGACGGTAGGTTAACATACATGTACATGTATAATAATGTACCCATATATGGCAACGACAATGACAATGACCTTTAGCGCATATTCACCCCCCCCCCCTCATGCGCGTTAGATAAGTGAGGTAGAGCATTAGGAGGAATTATTGCTACATTACTATGTTACATTAAAGTTGAAACGCCAAACTATGTAGGTCTGTAGGTCACCAAACACTATATCGGCAGCCTATAAACGTCTCAGCATGTCCTTGACATGAGCAGGTCTTTTTTATATTATTTTCTCGTATTATTTATTTATGTATGCCTGCAGGGCACATTGAAAAACGTCTTAGTGGCAATATATACACCCTGGATAAATGAATAAAAATAAACAAACAAACAAACAAACAAGGTCTAGACTTCATAAAAACATTATATTTCCTTTGAAAACCCAAAGACGTTAACGTTGCATCACTGTTTACATTATTCCAATCCTCCAAATCTTCTCTGAATAATTTAGCGTGCGTTATTTCAGCTCCTCTATAATAAAGCATGATTCACCACTTGCTCCCGCAAACCTTAAGAAAACAGCCCCGTCACGTGATGATTGTCGGGTATGTGGGACACGCATTCATGGAGCATGAAAAGATAATAAACTGGAATTCCGAAACATAAAGCAAAGATTAGCACATCGCACCTCCTGTACAAGATAACATATCAAACAGCTTGCTGTGGATCCGTGTTTGGTTGCCCCTAGCAACCGTGGGAAGGGCAAAACACCGACCAAAACACGACACAAGATCTCGCTGGGAAGGCTCTAACCTGTGTTAATGTTCTAGCCATGATAGGAGACTGCCGTACAATTTTTTTACCGGGAAGGCCGACGAGTGAAGTAGGACATCACAGTGGCCCGTTGAAACAGTGAGATTCTCACGTTGGCCTAGATCTGTGGCAGGTTGATACTCCCAAAGCAAGAGTTTAGCCTTGGACGCCTTTTTAGGCCTTTATTGTGTCTTTCCTTTTTGTACCTAGTATTCGTTTTTTGTCGTCCAGCCAAATGGTGGCGTATCGGGTACTGCCCTGCCTGTTTTATAGTATCTCGGTCTTGTAGCCACCAAAGATCTGGTAGAAGATTATCGTGTTGAATCAGTGCTAGCCTCAGCTTTACCAGGCTTTCTTATTTTGTACTGGCATATATTTTTCCATCAGCCAAATGGCGGATACCGTGTTCCCTATTTGATAATATATCACTGACGGACTTGTATCTACCAAAATCTGCCTGGAGGTTATTGTGTAGCCTGGGTACCAAACCTTTGGTCGGCTTGGCGGGAATTTTTCGTCCCCAGCCTTTACCCAGCACAGGACCAATCTCCAGCATCCGAAGCGCGGTAATTGAGGCCTGGTTGGCGGCCCCAAACGCTCTCGGCGCCGAAGGAATAGGACTGAGCTGACGGCGGTCCGGTCACCAGGCTAGTTATCGTGTTGAAGCAGTGGTAGACTCACGCCGCCCCGGACCAGCATGAGCGCGGTGATGTCTGCCCTGTCCAGCCGCAGGGGCAGCAGAGTGTCCACGCCGGCGGGATCGGGTAAGTAAAGACCTTGCTGTATCCGTACTTCATTTTGCAACGCTCAGGAATGGTTCCGGATAGTCCACGCGTATCCAGAACCGCGCTTTATCTAGGATTATGCTCAGGCACGGTTCTTGATAGTCGACGTGTATCCAGGAACGCTATTGCTTGATAAAGCGTTCCTAAATAATTATGTAGCATGTGCCATGTTTTATAACGGTGGACATAAGGCATTGTTGTTTCTGTGCTTTATACACACTCAGGTACGCTTCGGGATACTCCGCATCTAGAACCGTGCCTGGGGCAAATCTATGTTCTTGGATACGCGGAGACTATCCAGAACCGTGTCTGATCCTAACCCTAACCCAGTCAGGCATAGAACTAGATCGAAACGGGTCTGGATACGCATTGACTCTCCAGAAGAATGATTCTGTACTAAACACGCTTCTGAATACAACAGGGGCATTCAAAAAAAGGTAGATTCTGTCCCGTTCCAGTGACCGGGTCTGTTGCCGGAGTGTCCCAGTGTATAACTGTACTATAGTTTATAGCAGTGGATATTGTGTTTAACGATAGATCCTGTACCGTTCCAGTGACCGGTTCCGTTGCCGGGATCTCCTCGGACACAGAAGCCCGACAGGCCGAGCAGATCTACCACCTCATGGTGGCCGCCCGGATCTGTTGCCGGGGTGTCCTATTGTATAACAGTACTGTAGTTTATAGTATTTATGGTACCGTGCCGTTCCAGTGTTTTATAACGGTAGATGCCGTCCCGTTCCAGTGACCGGTTCCGTTGCCGGGATCTCCTCGGACACGGAGTCCCGTCAGGCCGAGCAGATCCACCACCTCATGGTGGCCGCCCGGAAGTGGCGTCAGAAGTACGAGACGGCGGGTCTGGAGCTGAAGGCGGCCGCCAAGAAACGCCGGGAGATGGAGGAGGACTTCTTAAGGAAACAGCTCAAGATGCAGGAAGAACACACGTAAGGACTGCAGTTTTGTTGGGGGATTTGTTCATTCGTTCATTCATTCATTTACTCACTTATTCATTCATTCAAACATTCATTCATTTACTCTCACTCATTCATTCATTTCCTCAGTATCTTCACAAGCACATTAAAATGTGCCTAGTGACTACTTTTAATTCGTCATGCACGTACAGTATTTGTGTAGTCTTATCAGACTTTCAACTGCTAGGCTAGAAGGTGTACTGAAAGGGTGCATCGCTAGTGCACATGAAAGAGATAAGAAATGACACATCTGGCCTCTCCCAGAATGTGCACGTTAAGCTGATAAGGAGCCAATGTCTAGTAACCAAGTCCTTCACTTCCTCCACAAACAAACATAGAGTTGAGGAGATGCTGAAGAACAAATGTGTTCATAATGTAACAAAGGAGCATTGTATGTGGTCATATATTGTATATAACAAATCCTTATTTCCCATTATCACAGCCAGCACGAGAAGGCGAGTCTGAAGGCTCAGGCTGAGAAGTACGAGGAGAAAATCACTAAGCTTAAGGAGCTGATCAACGGACTCAAGAACTCTCTCTGGCCGACAAAGAAACTAGCCGAGCTCAACTTTCAGGTTAGCAATTTTAATTAACTTTAACGACTCATCTCACAATTACGAACAATTACAAATTCCGTCGGCGAAGGTTAGACATCCAGGTAATAAAATACGCCAATAAAACAGGTAGTCAAGCAACTGGATATGATTTTGGAAACGGTCTATTCAGACTTTTTTTGGGGGGGGGGCATGCAAACTACATCTTTTACTAGGATTTTCGTCAATACTTTATGATGACAACCTTAAAATCCCACCACTAACACGAGCATACATGAAAAGGCACTGGGCGTATCCAAATGATCTTGGGTAACTGGAGAAAGGGGGCAATATTGTTTATTGTATTGTCATGTGGTATTATGAAATAAGTGCGTAACTTGGATGTATCACCAGGTTGTCTTTGTTTTTTGTCCGACGTTTCTATGAGGTGCAGCTAGTGAAGTGTCTAATAGTATGGAAACATCTATTTCAGGTGGATTACGAGCGCGCGATGCGGAGAAAGGAGACAGACAACTTCACAAAAGACAAGCAGAAACTTGAAGAGGAGCTGAAAGACGAGAGTCAGCAGAACCGGAGTTTGCTGGAGAAGCGGAAGAGCAGAATTCGTCGGCTCTGGCGCGTGTCTGCCCGGGCGGCTGCCATGAAGGAACAACTATCCAAGACGGCGGAGGATGAAGACTCGCAGAATAAGTCAAGAAGAAGGTTCCTTGAGAAGCAGACCAAGACGTATGAGCTCAGGTGGAAGGAGGAGAAGGAACGCGCAAGACGTCTTCACGATACCTTCATGGCGGAGGTGGAGGAGAAAGTTCTTCAAGACGCAAAACTGGAAACTTTGAGACAATCCTTAGAGTCGGAACTGAAGGATGTCCAGCGGCAGATTCAGATGGACAACGCGAAGCTGAAAGCCGAGTTTGCCTGGCAGGAAATGGATCTAGTAAACCTGTACGAGAAAGGTCACCAAGAGAACACAAACCTGGTGTCAGAAGTGGAGGGAAAAGTGGGCGATCTGAAGAGAGAGTTCTGCATGGTGTTTGAGCAGATACGCAACCTTCAGCAGACCGTGCAGTACATGGATGAAAAGTTGTACCCTGTCCATCTCCCTGGTGCAGAGACTGGATAAGGAGAAAGTTGCAGCGACTCGCGGAGAAATCTCGGACACAAACATCGCGCAGACCACCAGACAGATCTGCGTGAACGTGGCCAAACAGCGGAAGGAAATGGCGGAGACGTTAGAGGATGTGGAAGATTGTCTTACCACCGGGAGTTCCCCCCCGATCTCAGCAGATGCTGTGGGATAACCTGACTCACCTGCAGGTTCTTGTAGACTTGAACAGCCGGGAACTCGGGGAGCTGAGAAAAATACTAAAGTGTCGTAAAGCCAGGGGACTTTACGACAGGTCAAAGGGCACGTCATCGACGCAAACCGGCCTCCAGGAGCACCCTTTATCTTCCAAAGTAGCGAATCGGTCGATTAGAAGGAAAAAGTACTTCAACGTTTCCCCGAGTAGCTGCCAGACTGTCTTCTGACTCTAAAGGGGCTATTCAGACAATTTGGATGGACTTGTAATAAGATATTATGTTTTCGTTCGTTTCTGAATTCATTGCAGATTCAAGTTACTATTTGTGATATAGTTACAAACAAACAACTCTTCTCAAGTAATTAAAGGAGAATATTCTAGGCGATTCATGCAAATCCCTGAGTCATGACGGGACTTCAAAACAGATACAGACTTCAAAGTTGTACGAGCGTTTGCATATCTACATTCAACCGTTTATACATGTATATCTTTACATTTGGCATATGGAGTTATCATGTGTATGTAAAGAGATACAAGTTACTGTTATTTGAGTCTAGGTAGATCATAGAGGCCGATTTATGTATGTAAAAAAGTGTTAATAAAAGTATTGAGGATGAAGTGCTCTGTTCATTGCAAAGTTTCTCTATCAAGGGTAAAAAGAAGAAGATTGAAAATATTAAAAGAAATGATACTTGCCTACCTTAACATAATGTTTTGTTTGGGTGACACGACGGGATAGAATGTGTCGTCTGGACTGACAAAGGAGAGTAAACCAAAGTCACCTTCTGTTAATTCTATTGACAGATTTACTACCTGCAGTATTTTTCTCTAAATGGTACAGTGACAATGTGCTTGTACTGACTCCTGACAATGTTGACTCTTCTTCTCTCTTTATACTATCTAAATTTATACCTACATATTTAGACTTCAGCTGTTTGTGATTGTCAGGTCTTGGTAACGGGCGCTTCAACATTTGCGTGTTGCTAAGATACCACCAGTGACTAGGCTTCACACAAAACTCCTTTAGAGTAGCGATATGAAAGAGTCATACAAGGGAGTGTTACAAAAGGCAAGCGCTGTTGTTCGTTAGAAAATGGAGGTACTGGACTTTCAGCTGCCATTATTCCACCAAAAGATCTATTCAATGTGCAAATACCGAAATAACAAAACGACAGGGAAAACCGTTGTGTATGTCCGTTCCATGAGAATAAAAGACCCACAGTTTACTCTATATAATTTATTTATGAAGATGATTTAGGTTATCTGTGCACTGAATAGAAGAGATTTCTGAAATTTGTAAAGATTGCGACGGGTTCTCTTGTGTTCTTGGTTTTCGCGCACACAACACATGACAGGCCCTATCGGGACCAAAGTTGACATCCTAGCTCTGTCGTATTATCGTGATCGGTGGTGGAGTTGAAAGTTTCCGTCGTGAGATCGTCGCGCGATCGTCGTGCGACCACAAGCAGACATTCTTGGGGCAGTCTTGCACGTGACGTACAACCGTCGGCTGCCTTGTGACAGGAAAAATCTGCCCTAGATCCGTTGTTAGTGGCTGGTTCTTTCACGACCATGGAGGACTCCACTGACCCTATAGATACCAGCGTTACAGACACAGCCGAGGACAACTACTCGCACGTTAGAGGGTTAGCAAAGGAGTGGCGCAAGAGGTATGGAAACATAGTGGAGATTCTGTAATACGTTGTAAATATAGTATTGATGGATCCGTTTTTGGAATATGTTTGCAATATAATACTGATGGATCGGTTGTTACACGTTATCAAAAAGGCTGGATAGTATACAAAATTAGTTCACATAGCCAACGTTCATAGATTATATATAACTCATGCTTTGATAAGATCAGGAGCGGTTCTGAATGCTCTGGGCGTATCCAAGAACGTAGATTTGCCCCCAAAAAGTACGGTTCTGGATTCACGTGGACTATCCAGAACCGTACATAAGCATGATTCTGGATAAAGCATGGTTCTGGATAAAGCGCAATTCTGGATAAAGCACTGTACAGGGCACAACAACAACACTGTTATCCCAACCTCCTTAGATATCTCCGTGCGCAGCAGCAGCGCGAGGAGCTTGAGACGCTGCTGAGACGCTGCTGAGACGCTGTTGAGACACTGCTAAGACGCTGCTGAGACGCTGCTGAGACGTCTTGTTGCTTGTTCCTGTGATAATTCCCTGTTCCGTCCCGTGCAGGTACCTCCGTGCGCAGCATCAGCGGGAGGAGCTGGAGACGTTACTGAGACGTCTGGAGGATGAGCGGCAGATGGAGAAGGTTCAGCAGGAGGAGCTGGAGCAGAGGAGCAGGCTGGACCTGCAGGAGGAGAGGAGAGAGCTGGACCGGCAGGTGTGTGTGTGTGTGTGGGGGGGGCAGATGGAGAAGGTTCAGCAGGAGGAGCTGGAGCAGAGGAGCAGGCTGGACCTGGAGGAGGAGAGGAGAGATTTGGACCAGCAGGTGGGTGAAGACAATGATGATTGTCGTTGACGAGGTTCATCTGTTACGTATGTAGTATATTAATTCAGTCATTTAGTAGCATATTCCTCAATCAGTGAATCTTCTGAAAGGTAGAAACACGTACCTCCAAATTTCCGATGTCCACTGTACATCTTGATCACGGAGTGACCAAGTCTCGCGAGAACACGAGACTAGGTCGAGACTTGTGTGGATCTTCTAGGTCACTCCGTGATCAAGACGTACAGTGGACATCGAAAATTTGGAGGTACGAGTTTCTACCTTTCAAAAGATTCACTGATTGAGAAATATACTAATTAATGATTGTATAGAAAAGCTTTAGGGCAAAAGTGATCTCTGAGGCTGTGGGGACAGATGTTTGTTAGTCCACTGTGTCTAAGGCGTGGTGTTGGACAGTGGCACCCATCCCATTCCTTCGCAAGGACACGGTGTCCAGCCAGGAACGCCAGGGATCGAACCCGTGACCTCTTGATCTCATTTCCGCTAGCCTATTAGTAACCACTTGATCATTCGACGCCACAAGAATGATTGCCTACGAGACATATGATAGCTGATAGGAATATGTTTATTGCCTGCAAACTGATTACATGTAACAAAGCTAAAATGCATATTAGGTGGAAGAAGGGTTTACTTCATTGACGTTCTACAAAGCTTGTGTCCTAAAATGTTCAGATAAATGTTAACATTCACAAATCTTTACAGTCTCAGGTACATATGAAAATAGATATTCTTCAAAGACCTTCCGAGAAGATCTATATGATGTACCTTTACATGTTATTAAAGTCTGCACAAAATCTAGGATCAGACCAGCTGAATTTGACAACTAGAAATGCTGCAATCTGACAAAACAGCAGTAATACACAGAAAAATTTATTACATCATTGATTTTCAGGAGTTGTCTGAAAAGCTAATGAAAAGCTAGAGAGTTGTTTGAAAAGCTAATGAAAACATCGAAAATTTAAGTTGTACAATTTAAAATTCACTGAACTGTACATTGCTGCAAATGTACATTTGGGCTTATACAGCGCTTCATGCTAGTACATAGGGTGACAATCAAATCTATTGGATGCCTTGTAGTTTTCATAGGATCAAGGCCTATTCTTTTTTCTGTCATTTTGAATACTAAATGAAGAACTGTTTACACAAATTGATGGATGATTGATTGCATTGAACATTTTCATACTTTAACATTGATGAAAAAGTGCCAAACACAAATCTATTACCTGTTGATACAATACTTGATAATTGATATCCCTGTGACACATCATATAAGAAGAAAGCATTAACAATGTATAAACAGAACTGGTCAACAATTTATAACTTGTTTCATCACTGCAAAACACACTGCAATTTTCAGACACTCCATGTGTTTACATTCTATGTGAAATTTCTATCAGAATTTGCAGCTACAAAATGGGTGTGGCCATACAAATAGTCATAGATATCTGTGTCTCATCTCATTTCGTTATACCAAACAGGATGCCGAAAGAGAAACCAAAGCCACGCCGTTCGCTTTTAACCAAAAGTGAATCACTTTGGTTTGAAGATGAGGTTTTTGCGCAAAGTGCTGTGGTTGGACGAGATCCACCCACACTTTTCAGCATCGACTTCGTTCATTTTGTCGCACACCATGGCCATTATGGCAGACAGATCGTGCGTTGGGCCGAAATCTCTCAGTATTTTTGCCAAATGTTTCACGTAAGGGGCCCCGTCCGGGTCCCTCAAGGCCACATAGCCCGGCACCGTGGCCAGACCCAGGAAGAAGTCGGCTTCGTGGCAGATAAAGGGCACAGGTTTGGCGTCATGGTCGCCATCGAAGCTCTCCCTACCCTGAGTTTTCTCCCCCTGACAAGCCTGGATAAAGAACAGCTTTGGTTTCCCTTTGAGAGACGGACATTTCTTAGCATTGACGGGCTTCATGAGCTCACAGATATCTAAGCCTACGTCATCGGAGGAGAAGACCTTTCCCATGGTGCCGTGCGACATGATGCAGCAGACGAAGCAGTCATGGTTGGAGTGGTCGGCCTTGCCCTGCTCCTTCAAAGCGGCCACCATCTTGGCGTGGTCAAGGTCGATGAAGGTCAGGACGGTGAAGCCAAGGCTTTCGAAGACTTCTCGAAGGCGATCTGTGTAAAAGATAGACATTGGATTGGAATGAAGGAAGATATATCTACCTATCAATCCTTATATATCTATCATCATCCATCCATCCATTCATCCATCCACAACTAATTTCCCACCCAACCACCCACCCACCCAACCATCCACAACTAATTTTGTTCTTGGACATGGGTAGACTACCCAGAACCGTGCCTTATCCTATCTCTAGACCATCCAGGTATAGAACTAGACAGGCATGGTTCTGGGTAAAATAAAACCCTGACCTGTGTCCCCCTCAGCCCCTTCCCGGTCCGCCATGTCCTCAAACCGGATGTTGTTGATGATGACGGCCACCCCGCGGGGGTCAGAGTTCATCTCGTACAGACTGCTGATTTCGGTGGACGAAGAGATCTGCAGCTGATTCTCCAGTCCTTCAATTTTCCTCTTGTCAGCCTCTGCCTGGTTCTTTAGTTGACTGTTTTCCTGTTCCAGCCTCCGACTCAGGTTGATTGAGATTTTCTGGGCTTCTCTCTCACGTCTGAGTGCAGCTTGTAGGCTTTCATTTACCGTCGTCACCTGTTGGAGTTGCTCTTCTTTGCTGTTCAGATTCTGCTTGGCGGTCTTGAGTTGTCGCTGAAGCTGAGACAACTGTATCTGTGAGGGTGTCTCGTCCTCTTTGGGACACAGCAGGGGCTCCAGTTTTGTCACTTGCAGCCCTGTCTCTTCCAGCAGTCTACTCTCGTTTGCGAGAATCTCGGCAGCGTCTACATGAACGATATGTGAAAAGAATGAGATTGATAACTTAAATCATGTAAATTTTTTTGTCTTTCAACCGTGGCAGCAACATATATTTCTTGTCAGGTCAGTGTGAAGACACGTACATTTTACAAACATACCTTATCATTATATATGCTCACGGTATATCATTAATTGCAATTAAATGGCAATAAAGTTTTGTCTGATCGAGTACAAAACATGAAAAGGCAAGTAGAACAGCTGATATCTTGGCAGAATATAGTAGCGTTATCATGTTCTGTTGTACACTTGAGAGTACAGGTGTGTACTTACGCTTTGGCGAAGAGAACTCGATCAGAGCAGTTCCTATTTCCAGAAACTCGACCAGTCGTTTCGTCCAAAAAGAAAATGGCCAGGAGCTCTCTTCATCCGGAAACCCACTCACAACGAGGCACGCGTCTGGATCCATGTCGGGTTCAGCCAAGTTTCCGATTGACACCTGGAAGCTACCTGCAGTAGGAAACAAGACGACGTTTTCACTAAGTGGTAAAGTCAACAGTACAGGACGATAATCATTTACCGGTTAAGCATCTCTATAGAAATTTATCTCCCCCCCCCCCCCAGCGTACTAGCCTGACTAATCGCGCTCCTGGCGGCCGGCGGCCCCGAAGTTGCCGCCTTGGAGTGGGGGTCATTAACCTCCGGCCGAGAGCTTGTGTAACACAGGCTACCCAGCGTACTTAACGGACGCCAATACAGGCCTGACAACATTGGTCACCAGAGCTTCGAAAATAATCTACAGTTTTGACCCTATATATTGGTTTAAATTCCTCGTTTTTATTTTCTCTACCTGTGTATTTAACCTAATTATGCTTGTTCGTTTGACAGGAGATTCCACTGTTATTTGGAGCTTGTTCCATAACGTGACGTTTGTTACTGGTTAACCTAAGGCCACCTAACGCCTGGATCATACAAGGAAACATTTACCTGATTCTCTAGTGTGCCTACGCAGACCAGGCAGTGACCGGAGGAAATTATGTAAGGCACCGGCGCATCTTCCTCCCGACAAGGATCTCTTGTTTCCATCCTGAAGAAGCATGGCTGACAGCCCTCTCACCTGCAGCAATGCCTCGTTTGCCAGCACGTCGGCGGCGTCTGCAGGAACGATATCGTCATGTCTTAAGATTAACCCTTTGTCTTAAAGTTTCCCGCAAATACTAGTCTCTACAAAACCTTTCTGCGGGATGAATAATAACAGTGATTGCTTATTAGCCGGCTTCAGGGCCCCATGGCCCGCCTCTGTTTGCCGGTACTATGTTCCTGTTCTGGTGTGATAGAACATCCCTTACATGATCACGTTCTACTGAACTGTGAGATGAATGTAAATGTACACACCTTCTGGCGTCAGGAACTCTACCAGCGCAGCTCCGATTTTTGAAAACGTGACAAGTTGTAGTATCCTGGAGTTACGGTGCGCAGACTCGAAATGTTCCCTCAGCTTCTGACTGTTCACACGACCCGACAGCCCGCTCACAACAACACTGGCGCTGGCGTTCATGTAAGGCATCTTGTTTTGTGTTCACCTGAACACACCTGAAGCAAAGAAAGGACGCATTAAAGGCGACCTTTACGGCTAGTTAGGACGTTTAACAGTAAAGGTTGTCAAAGTCAGGAAAGGAAACTTCAAAATATAGTTCACAGACGGGAAAGTAACGCCCTGCAGTACATGAATCCAAGGAGGAAGCGTTACGTGTTCACCTGTGAAACTAAAATGGCTGCCAGCTCAGGTGTTGTTGTGTAAGGGGATTCCCCTATTATAGCTAGCGGGCGACCTTTGAACTTCTTTTGTATACCATGGCTCATTTATTTGCAATTTCTGCAAAACACAGAACGTACCACGGTGAGTTATATCATGCAATGCACACAGGGCTCCAGTTAAGAGCTATCGGAGGTATTCCTGGCCTACGATGTCATCAGTAGCAATTGGTATTGTATCCAGAACTTTGCCTATCTAGTTCTATACCTGAATGAGCTAGGCTTAAGATCAGGCACGGTTCTGGATAGTCTCTGTGACTGTGTATCCAACGCAGATTTGTCCCAGGCACATTTCTGGATACGCGTGGGCTATCCAGAACCGTGTCTGAGTACATGGTTTTGGATACAACACTATTTACACTAGAACTTTTTCAGGTGGAAATGCTAATGAAGGGCATACAGGAGGTCGCAGAGCAAAATAGCGCCACCAAGCGGCAGGTGGAGGAAAGGCACCAGGCGCTCGCCGAAAAGTTTCAAAACGTCGTGGGGAACTTGCAGGAAGCGATGTCGGCTTCTCTGTTGGTACGTTAGTAGTATATACGTACTTTAATTGTATTTTCAGTAAAATGAAATAAAACTAAGATAAAATGATCCACTGATACAAAATCGTTGCCAACAATATTTTACGATAAGGCACCACGTTTGGTGGTTCTAGCACTAGCGGATCGGACGCTATCCGACATCAAAGTTGGCTCGGGCACTTTTAGCCCCCCCCCCGGCTAGATAGGGTTAAATAATTGATTGTATTTTTTATCTGTGTACACATTAAGTCACATGTTTCACACGACACACTAGTGTCGTTCCATTTGAGTAAAATCCTTTTTTCACGATGGAATTGAGTGTCGTTTAAATATACTCTTCTGTTAAGAAGGGAGACAAACCGATAAACCTACCATTCCTATTGTCCATGCCCTTACAAGAGTCTGCTATTTAAGACGACATGCTTAAAATACACGTAATATAGACGTAGAATGGTTTATTACAGGAACAAGAAAATGTACACACAAGCCTCCTGGCAGCTATAACGCGTTAACGGCTAAATCGCGAGGCTTATTTGCGACAATCCATCATATGAAGCCGTTACATTAAAAGCATACAAAGAGCAGAACAATCCACTCCACTATTTTCCTATTACATAACCTCTAGGAGCAGGATTCCCAGAAGGAAAATGCTGAAGCCGCGCTGAAGGAAGCAGCAGAGAACGAAGCGGAGGTTCGCGCGTGGGAGGAGGAGCAGGAGAGGCGGGTAGCCGCGCTCAGGGCGGGGTATGACGGCATGCTGGGGGAGATGGCGGCGGCTCTGCAGAGGGGGAAAGCACAGGAGCAGGAAAGGTACGGAACATATTTTCGCTACCAAAAAAAAAAAAACTAAGAGGGCATGCATGAGTGTGTGTGTGTGTGGGGGGGGGGGTGTTTGCAGAGGAGCAGGAAAGGTACGGAACGATTTTCACACTTCAGGATAGTGTCTATGTTGTGTTTTATACTCATTTTCTTAATACTTCTGTCTCAATTTTTTTCGAAAGCAATCTTGGAACCATTTTCTGTCCGTTTCGAATCAGCATCATGGGTCTGTACAAAGTCTGACAGCGGAGGATATTTATATCATAAGCTTTGAAGTTAAGTACAGTATAACTATACACCCCAAAGCCGGTATTGGTATTACTAGTACATGTAAATGTTAACCTTATGACTAAAAGGGCTAAACGTTCAAGCCAACACGAAGTAAATTGGGGCTTACCCAAATTTTCGGCCGACTCCGTCAGCCTTGTTCCCAATTTACTAGTATTGGCTAACACAGATGATCTTTCATGCTAAATGTTAACCTCCTTGTGCTGCAGATACGAAGACGTCCGCCAGAGGGTGCAGTTGAGCTGCCAGCAGCTGCGGACGGACATGAAGGAGCGGTACGACCGGATGAGGTTCGAACTGGACGAGCGGCAGGGACGGATGAACGCCAAGCATGTAAGGCTTAAACTGCCTACGGAATTATAGATACAGGCCGTCTAACGTATCCAGATCCGTGTCTATGTTGTTCTATATTACTGAATGGACTAAATCAGGCACGGTTCTGGGTAGTCTTGGTGTATCCAAGGACGCGAAGCATGTAAAGGCTTAAACTGTATGCGAGATTTTTTTTTACATATAGGCCGTCTATCGTATCCGGAACCGTGCCTATCCAGTTCTATGCCTGAAAGGGTTAGGATTAGGATCAGGCACGGTTCCGGATAGTCTACATCGTATCCAATAATGTATACCTGCTCCAGACACGATTCTGAATACGGGTGGGCTATCCAGAACCGCGCATGTGCAAGGTTCTGGATAAAGCACAGTTTTGGATACAGCACGGTTCTGGATACAATACTAATTAATTTCCGATATTTTAACTCTGACGTCAGGATAAAGAGTCGAAGGATCTGCAGAGGATGACTGACCTGGCGCGACTGCGCGTGCGCGAGGCGGAACAGGAGCTGGCCATGGTGCTCATGCGCACAGAACACGCCAAGCACGAACTGCGCATGCTCAGGAGGAAGTTCTTTCCGTCAGAGGACCCCAAGAAGTAAGATTCAGTTAGAAGTTTCGAGTTGTGTTTTCATAAAGACTGGTTGACCATATATAGGCATTGATACCATATATTGGCATTATGACGTACGGCTATTCGTACCTGTGACTATATATGGGCATTATAATGTTTTCCCGAAAGAAGACAAAGATCATTTTGCAGCAGTGACCATATATGGGCATTATTACATTTTCCAGGAAGAAGACGAAGATTATTTTAAGTATCATAACCATATATGGACATTATCACGTTTTCCAGGAAGAAGACGAAGGTACCTCGACAGGAGGTCACGGACGACTTGAACTCTGACCTGGACCGGCTGGTGAAGGAACTGGGCATGCGCGTGCAGGAGTTCAACCAGATCGAGGTGCAGATTGAGCTCCACCTAGCGGGGGAAACCGGAGGTGCAGGAGATGGCGGCTGCGCACAGGACGGTGAGGAAAGTCGTGGTGCGCTGCGCTGTGTTTTTCGGGTCGAACTTGTGGCATGCCAGAGAGGACATGTAGGATCACAAAATACCACTAGTAGATACCGAATCTGACATTGTAGCTGAAATACATGTACATGTGGATGTTTGGTGGTTTTTTTTATTGTTTAGCTGCACGGCCAAGCGGGCGCTGTCCCATTAAGATGTGGGAAGGACTTTAACACTTAAGGTGGGCAGTCCCGGCTGTATAAATCCTAAGATTAGCCAGCCAATAAGAATACCTCCCTGCCGTTTCCCAGGCGACCTGAACCCGGAGGAGGAGATGGCCCGGCTGGAAACCGCCCTCGACTTCAAACTGCGCGAGATCGAGTCTCTGCAGCGGCGCATGCGCGACAAGCAGATCCAGATGTCCTACGGAAGGAGCGACTCCAAGTCTCAAGACTTCTTCAAGTCTCGCGAGATCTTCGGCAGTCGCCGCTCCGGGCTCCGGACCGGAAGCAGGCCGCCCGCTACATCCGGTGGGAGGTCTGACGTCACCTGGGATTCCGTCACGAGCGTCGTTCGTCTCAGCTCTGACGAGAGCCTGTCGCCATGGCGACAGAGGTCACTGACCCCGCTGTCTCCCACAACGTCACCGCCAAGAGAGGACCAGGAAGTGACGTCATCTCCAGAAGGCCTGTCGAGCGGAATCGGGAGCCTGAAAGCGGGACCGGGCAGCGGAATCGGCAGCTTGAATCAGAGCTGGGGTTCGTCCATCTCCGTGGATCATCGGAGACGGCTCGCGCCCCTTCGGGCTCCCGGCAGCGCGCCCGAAGTCTCCCGGAAAGAGGCGAGCGGACCCGAAGGACGCCCTCGCTGCTCGTCGTCTCCGTCCGTAAGGACCAAGGCAGAGCATTAGCGCTTTGTTCAGCACGGCAGGGATATAACAGCAATATCGCCAGTTTAGAATATAGCAATCACGATTAAGTTTAACTAAAATTTACAACAATTTAATGACTTTTTTTCATCAGGCTATATAGATCATGTATGAGAGCACGCATAGAAGTATGACAGTTACCTTACCCTTACTGTTCCACGAGATTCTATAATCTTTAAACATAGCCTGCCTACTCTGCGATAACAAAGAGTTATTTCTAATTGAGCCTACCTCAAGACAATGTTAACACAGAATTTCGCGCCTGGAAAGAAAAACCTAAATACTATAGTCTGAAGTCGTATGTGTCAGATGTTTAGTTTGTAGCTGTTCTTTTGCAATGACATATTTGAAACACTATGAGGTTGTTTATGTAAAATGAAACCCTGACTATATGTGTTCAGCACTACAACACGTTTGTCAACATTTTAAGCATGAATTATGTACATAATCTTTGCGCACAATGTTGTGGCGTCAGCCGGCATGCATGTGGACAAAACTGCTAAGGTCTGACCTAGATATCCCACTTTACTGGGTTTACATTCATCCATTATCAAAGCATTTACACTTTTCCACCTGAATAAATGTACAAGAATGCCTGTTTGTTTTCTTTAGGGTGTTGACGATTTTAACATTGTTCGTCGTTTGACTCTTACCAAAAGACTTCAATACAGCTTGTGCAACACGTATGACAATTAGCGGAACACCTTAAAGCCTGGCAAAGTATCACGTATCGGTATCCAGGCAACGGTATACACGGGTAGTGTTGAGTTGATGCCTTGTTGTCCTCAAATGCATTTCTCAGGTCAGTGAGGGAGGGTTGATGCGAGTGTTGTTTTGCTGCTGTTTTTCAACGTTTCTAGCTCCTTTTAAAAGTTCTACCAGGAATGTTGCCATCGGTGAAACAGAAGACGGTGTGATTTGGGACTGTGCATAAAGGAACCGTTTTATAGCGTGTATAAACGTGTGATAGACGTGCTAACGAAGAAGACTGATAAAAGACTGGACAGACACATGGAAAACCACCAACAGGAACAACTGCAATATGCGCACAGGACACTGGGCAAACCAAGAAGATCAGAGATGAAGAGCGGCTGAAACTGGAATCCCAAAGTTTGTATCAAACCGAGGATTCTACTCTACTCTACTCTACTCTTATGTGTGAATTTTGGAAAGTGCAATGACATTTCCAAACATCGGTGTGTTTTTGTAGAAGGAAACATTTCATGAATGAGCCTGTGGTTTACCTGTACTGCAGCTAAAAAAATTAACACAGGTGCACAATACGCATGAGGCATGCGTTGAATTTTTTAACGTTACCAACAGTCGGATGTTGAGAAAATGGCATCTCCTCCCATTACCGGCTCCAGCATACCACCATCAGCGGTACGCCCGTCCATGTCTGCCGCAGAGAAAATCGCGTATTACGAGTCTGTCATCACCCAGTGCAGGCAGCAGTTCTACAAACAGACGCTCGGGAATCACGTCTTGAAGAAAAGGGTGAGAAGCACTTGGAAGGAACTGAAGAAACTACGTCAGAGCACGAGGGAGATTTGCCGAAGATCTTCCGATGCAAGGCAGCAACTCTTTAAACTCACTTCTGAAAAGATTGCTCAGTTATCGGAGGAGTTACGCGCCTTGCAGTGTGATAAGATAGATACTGTAGGTACTGCACTTAGTAACGAAGCTCAGCTGTCAGCAAGACTGGATATGTTGAAGATCTCGTCTTCAGAGGAACTACGTCAGGCGGCAACCACTTCCCGCCATCTTCAGGAACTTTGGGACAAGGTCCGTGAACAAAACACAGCGTTAAAGTCACGCGTTGCCGCAAGGAATCACGAACTTGACCACATAGAGGGACTTAGAAATTCTTGTAAGGAGCTCAAAGAGAAGCTTTTAAGTGAGAACGTTCACCAGTGCTATGAGGAGTGTTACAAAGAATTTACTTCAGTTGTTCGGGATTTGGCTACAGAAATGGATGATAAAGACAAAACTCTGTTGGAACTTTACACTGCTAAACAGCTCTCTATAAACACGCATAGAGCTGTGACGTACCCCTTGCGGAAAGAGAAGGCACTATATGAACATAGCCAGGAGAAACTGGACTGCAAGCTGAAAGAAGCGCGCGCAACTCTCGCGAGACTTCAGGGCGAGATTCGCGAGTTGAAAGGCGAGGAGAGGCGATGCATGACCTTGGGACAGGCAATGTCACGTTTGACTAAAGAATGTCAGGCTAAAAACGCGACTCTTGGAAGTTTAAGGGAACAGATCGAAGTTTCCGAGAGAAAAGAAGGAAAGGAATGTCAGCAAAATCATCACCGGAAAGAGAAAACTGGAAAAGATAAACGGCTTCATAGAGAAACAGAAAACTTGAAGGACATGCGCAGAACTTTGCGAAGTTACCAACTCGTCGTAGCCTACTGTGGGACCAGCTCCTATAGAATACGCCCCGAACATTAGAGCTAACCGGGCAAAATGGTGCACCTTTACGATGATGAATGTTATACAGCCAGGTAATGAGATACAAGAAAACAGTCACTCAAGCAACAGAAGCTGGTGTGTTACGCCGAAGGTTGGTCACACTGGTTATACAGATACATATATGAAAACGAAAAAGAGACAGGGCTAAGATAAGATTAACGTTAAGAAGTCAGCTAGCTCCCTGTTGTGTACACTATTAACAGTTAAAAGCTTTCAAAATCTATCCAGTTTCTTGAGGAACTGTTTGCTTGTGTAGATAACGTTTGGTTCGTGAAATATTCAATGTGAGAACAATGGATAAAGATAACGTTATATTTTGTACACGTAAACCATGTTTACAAACTAACGAGTAGGAAAACGCTGCTTTAATGACTCAGGGATACGTATGTTCTTTTTGCTGTGAGCTTATTGACATCTTTGACATATTTTGTATAACATCCACGTGATTTCGACTAGATCTACAGTGTTTTTTGAGGCAGAATAAAAACAATAGAAGAGAATAAATTGCTTGGATTTTAATGTTTTCTTGTCGTCATGAATTATACAGTAGGAGATTGAAGCCCAGACAAAAAGAGGGCTTGAGTCCGGCCATGTTATTCTGATACCACGTTACACAAATCGTTTGGATCTGACTGCCCCTTCCCCAAAGTGCTTACTGAAACACCCCCAACACGATGCCTGGTCCCCTGTTCACTGGAAATGAACTGTCCCTTTTTTCTTCGGCGAGAGATCAGCCATTGTAAAATAGGGGGTAAATTGATACATCTACGATGATACGAAATCAACTCTGATGTATGAAAATGGCCTACTGCAATGAAACGATAATATATGATTACTTAAAACAAATGGAACAATGGCACAAATAAAAGAAAATAAATATGACTTTCTGTTAGAAGTACACCCCGACAACGAAATGGTTCGACCCTCCCCGCGAGCGCCAATCACGATCAACGTTACATCCAAGAATCTTTCATTTGAATTTTGGGCGCCATTGCAGACTAACCCTGGGACGTCCCGTCAGAAATGAGGTAAGAATTTTCCCATTTTTACTTCGAAATACCATATTATATCCACAGTTCGTCTTGTATAGACATGTCCTTCTTTGGTTTCAAGATATTTCCTACCAAGTTTATCCTCGAAACTTTCATTCAACTTGTGCTTCCCGATGCAACATAGCCTGAACTTGTGTCGACATTTTTGTACATTTTTGTACATTTTTCCTGCCAGTATTTCTCAAGTAAACTGTGTATTGCCCCTCAAGTTTACCTCAGAATTTCCAGATTAAATGTTCCGACATGTAGTAGAGGCACTTTTAACTTCCTTCACTGGTGGAAAATTGAGAAAACTATGCACCGCTACTGCGTAGTTGGGCCGGCGGGATAGCAGGTGCTTTGGCCCCGTAAGTAAAGCTAGGCAATACCCGGTCGAATTCCGGTAGTCAAAAGTTCCAGAAAATTTTCTACTTTTCCTTAAAAGATGCTTCAGCATGTAGTGATGTCAATTTTAGCTTTTTGCATCGGTAAAAATTTGAGAAAATTGTGCACCAGGCCGGCGAAGTTGGTCGTCAGGTAGCAAGTGTATAGTCTTAACGCTAGGCAACACCTGGTAGAATTCCAGTCGTCAAAAGGTATAGAAAGTTGTTTATTTTTCCTCAAGTTTACCTCAGAATTTTTAGACAAGATGCTCTGGCATGTAGTAGTATTATTTTTAGCCTTTTTCACCGGTACAAATTTTAGGAAATTGTGCACCGGGACTGCCTATGTTGGTAGGCGGAATAGCAGGTGCTTTGGCCCCGTAAGTAATGCTGGGCTATACCCGGTCGTATTCCGGTAGTCAAAAGTTCCAGAAAATTTTCTACTTTTACTCAAGTTTACCTCAGAATATTTAGACAAGATGTTTTGGCATGTAGAAGTGTCATTTTTAGACTTCTTCCTTAGTAAGAAATTGAGAAAACTGTGCACCGGCCCTGCGTAGTTGGGCGGGCGGGATAGCAGGTGCTTTGGCCCCGTAAGTAAAGCTAGGCACTACCCGGTCGTATTCCGGTAGTCAAAAGTTCCAGAAAATTTTCTACTTTTACTCAAGTTTACCTCAGAATATTTAGACAAGATGCTTTGGCATGCAGTAATGTCAATTTTAGACTTCTTCCTCGGTAAGAAATTTTGAGAAAATTTTGCACCGGCTCTGCGTACTTGGACGGGCGGGATAGCAGGTGCATGGCCCCTTAGGTAACGTTAGGCAACACCCGGTCGGATTCCAGTCGTCAATAGGTATGGAAAATTGTTTATTTTCCCTCAATTTTACCTCAGAACTTTCAGACAAGATGCTCCTGCATGTATTAAGGTCAATTTTAGCTTTTTCCCTCGGTACGAAATTGAGAAAATAGCAGGTGCACGGTCCCGTAGGTAACGTTAGGCAACACCCGGTCGAATTCCAGTCGTCAAAAGGTAGGGAATATGGCTATTATTTTCTAAAATTTACCTCAGAATTTTAAGGCAAGATGCTCTGGTATGTAGACACACCAAAAGCCTTGGATTGTTTTAAATAATGTTCATGTTACTGTGACAGCGTGTTAATATTGTTTTTGGTGCCGATATGTTTTCCCTTTACAGACAGAACCAAAGGAGGGATGGCATTGGTTCCTGTCTGCCCAGCTGTTGAGATTTGAAGAGCTCTCTTGATGTCTGCCAACAGGTATTATGGTATTTCTTGCTTTCTACAAGTACTGTCGGTGTGGTGTCGGTGGCGCAACGGTTAGAGCGTTGGACTCGGAACCGAGAGGTCCTGGGTTTGATACTCACCGTGGCCCGACGTTGTGCCCTTGGGAAAGGCACTTTACACGACTTCCCCACCATGTACGGTGGAGTGACGCCCAGCGAGCCTCTTAGGCTAATCTGTCTGTCTGGGTGCCAAAAGCACCCTACGGATTTGGTGCGCCGATGTGACAAGATCTGCACACATTGGCCACTCATAGCCGTTAAATCTATATGTATATATTTTTTTTTCTTCAAGTACCCGTACTTTCTTCTTCATCTGTTGATCACATGCAGGGCAAATGCTAAGGCCTTTACAAATGTCATACCCTGGGTTGTTGAATAATGCATCTTATACAGTCTCATGATACAACGATAACCTAATCTTGTCTTAAGTAATGTTCTTGTTAGGCCACACTGACATGATTTTATGGATGACATCCGCGCGCGCATTGATTTTCGACTGTTCTCAAAAAAAAAAAAAGATCTCGTCCTCCGAGGCTGTGTCCTGGCTCTCGGCCTAGATAGTCCATGCTAGTTAGCGACAATAGGGAGCCGGTGGTAACTCTGGAGGATGGCACCCAGGCTGCCGAAGCTCCACGACTCAAGAACTCAGTACATACGTAGAGTGCCAATTCATAAATTCCGCAAAAATTGTCGTATACGTCGCTATATACTGCTTCAAATTCACAATACCATCTTTGTATTCCTGTGGTTTCATAGCATTTTTATTTTTGGCCAGAATTTTTTTTCTTCGCCCGCGCGCACTAGTTTGGGGGTCTTCAGAGGATGTCATCCATAAACTTAAGTCAGTGTGGCCTTACTGTAACAGCATGTTATGTTTTGGTGCTGATATGCTATTCTTTTACAGACAGAACACCAAAGGAGGGATGGCATTGATTTCTGTCTGCCCCGTCTCCTGACTTCTGTCAGCAGGTATGGTGATATGTCTTGTTTTCTTCGAGTACAGGACAATTGCTATGGCTTTTGCCTTTGCAAATGTCATATCTTGTCTCTATACCTATATAGAATAGCATCTACATCTGTAACCCATCAAAGAGAGAAAGAGGGGAGTAGAGAGGGAGGGAGAGAGGAGATAGAAAGAAAGAGAGAAAGAGAGAGAGAGACAGGAGAGACAGGAGAGACAGGAGAGACAGGGAGAGAGAGGGAGAGAGGAGAGAGAGAGTAGCTCAATGAAGATTGATGAGGTTGAAGCTGCTTTGTTTTGCTCCATGGATAAAACATTTGTCACATGATTTGTCTTTTCAGACTCAATCTTTGGTGTTGGTGCTTTTAATGATTCTCTCTTTCCCTCCCTCTTTCTGTCTAACCCTACTCTCTTCTACAGATTATCCCTTCAACTGAGGGCAATGTTTCCAGGCTACTCGAAGGAAGCAAGCATCAAGATAACAGCATGAACTCAAACAGGATTTGTATGATATCCTTTTTTCTTTGATATAGAAAGGGTGGGGGCTTGAGCCAGGCTCTACTTTGGTTTTGGCTCACTAAACTTGGGATAATGTAGGGGACATTTTGGACATAAAGTGCCTTGTGACCCAGATCTTAAAGAATAATCTTGCTTAAAATAACAGGGGCTAAGGGATAGAATTTCTAGAACTTGTATGATATAACAGTAGTCCACTACAAGGAGGCCAAGAATGGAAGGACAGCAAGAACAAGAAAGTCATTCAGTTGTAGTTACCAAGGTTATGTTCAAGCTTTTTGTGTATATGTTTAATCAAGCCAGTAATAAGACTGCAAAGAACATATATCTTGAAAGATTGAAAACAATGGAACAGTGTTATGCCTGGTACCCAACCATCTTGTAAGGAGAAGATGGAACACTGAACACAGAAATGATTTCATTCAAGTATATGCTACATGTAATTGAAAACATCAATTTTAGGACTTTATCACCATCATGTAAGAGAAATGATGGGATATACAGATTATTTTTGTCCATTTTGTATGTGAAAAGATGGACAAGTAACTATTTCATCCATCTTAGTGCCAAGATGGAGTTCTATGATTTTTCCACCGTCTTGTAAGAGAAAAGGCGGGTTTAGTAATGATCCTGAGGAATGCAGCCATTCCTGAAGACGCCCACCACAAGAGACTCCAACCACCAGGGACATTTCTGCGGACATTGAATAATTTGAATAAAGATTCTGAATGAGTGTTTGAATAAAGTTTGTGAATAAGGATTTTGAATGAAGATTTCTATTAAATGTACGAAATAAAGGTAGTCCTTCACTTTGGAATCCAAATTGGCTAGAAAGTTGAAGTGCTTGAGTTTGGTAAATTGAAAGGCAGAACTTCTACCTGCCTCTTTGCCCTGCTGTCTGAAGCTCACATGCACTTTGACTTTAGACCAGGAATTGAGTTAAAACTAAATTAGAGCAGGGACGTAGCTAGTTGTCGAAGTGTGTGATGATTCAGACAGCAAGTCTAGTTTCAAAATTTATGGGGGGGGGGGTAGATGAAAGTCAAGCACAAATTAGACATCTTTTTCAAAAATTTTAATCGTTATCACAAGGCACACCCCAGATTTTTAGCCTAGTCAACGATCTTCAAGAGGACACCTGTTTTTTATGTCAAGCCACTACCGAGATGCCAGAGGTGAGCCATGTAATTAAGGACTGCATGCGTTACTAACATGTGCTTTCTCTCCTCATACTTATAAAAGGAGGATCCTTTTCAGTGCCTTTTAGTGTCATCTATGGTTAGGACCAAGCAATGTTTTGTATTTTATACCCCATGATGAGAAGGGATCTGGGGTCCTTGCAGCAATGGGAGTTTCTTTTGTTTCATACTTTCACACACACACTGTAATCTGTGCTTGCGATTGAAATAAAGAATCAGTGTCTGAATGCTATGGTGTGAGTTACTCGCGATTAGTTATAAGATAGAGCTAGAGGAGAGACTTTTTCGCGACTTTTAGAGACAATTTCTTGTCAATTTGGAGGACGGAGGCAACTTTCGTGGAGTGGCAAGTAAAGGATATTTTTATATCTTCCGGATAAACATGTAAGTATGCCTTTGCAACTTTTAAAACTTTTTTCATTCATAATCATCATCATCATAGCTTTTCACTGAAACCTTTCTAACTTTTTGTAGTTTCTTCACTCTACAGGAAATTCATTATTGTAAGATGTCTGTCCAAAGGAAGTGACTGGACCATAACAACAATAGAAATCAAGGGTAAGTAAAAAAACTTTTTCATACAAGTTGGACAGGTTTGAATGGGACTTTTAAACAGTAAATATCTCATCACTCAGAGCAGGTTTGTACAAATTTATTTAGCCATCCAAAAACAAAACTTCTTTCTGGAACGCTTCTTGCCTATAACACAGATTCAATACCTTTTGATAATATGCTGATTTTTTTTTACACCTTTCTTCGTCGACTTGAAAGGTGTCTTTTAGAACTACATGTAGTTTTACTCTCAAATGGAGAGCAAAAATGTAGCAACGTGCTACAAGATGTAACAATATGCTACAAAAATGCAGCAACATGCGACAAAGGTTTGAACAAGCTGCTCCCATAGGGAGCTTTCAATGCTACACAACAGCGATGTTTCCATCCCTAACTAACAAACCTGTGAACGGGCATGTCAAACTATCAGAAAAGACGTGTGCCTGATCTAAAGATATTCTATTTAGAGAATATTGTTACAATATTTGTTGCGATCCACGGGATCATGTTTGCGTATTAAGCACAGCCTCAATCTGCCTTGACTTATAGCGTCGGTTGTAAATTGAAAAATTTATTAATTCATTAATAAGCCCTTGTGTTACAATTGGGAAAATGGGAAGCTAATATCTTATCTTTCGACTTGGCACTCTAAGGATTCCGTTCAACGGCAGTTTGTCCGTAGGGTGTGCGTCACTTCTGGTTGCTGCTTGTAGTCTTGGTTGAGGATGCTGAACTCTGAAACTTTGAGTTGATCTGGGGAAGGGATGAAGTAGTGTCACAGGTGGTTGGATAATTTGTCAGTTCACATGAACAGGAGGGTGATGGTAAAGTGTCGTTAATTATCTTTACCTTTGGCCATTTTTTGAATTAAGCTCCGCTTGCTAATCACAAGTTAAAGCAGATTCAAGGCAGGTCTTACATAACTATAGCGTACTCACATGGAAAATGAACTGTGTTTGCTGTAGCTCGGCATAAGGGTGCCCTGCACAGGCAAGCAGTCTCACTGGACCAGTCGACCTGGGGAAGGGATGGAATAATGGCATAGTTTGGGTAATTTGTCAGTAGAGTGGGGCTAATAGAGGTTCGTTGTTGAATTTCTTTATTTGGGGTATGTCACCCATTGAAAACAGTTGAAGAAACACACACACACACACACACACACAAACAAAACAACTGTTACAACAGCACAAACTATACAAGTCAAAAAAAGATTTCTTATCCGATAATCTGATTTCAGTTATGTGTCCTCAGCGCGGCCACTGTGTGCAATCACATGCTTTGCGTTATAATCGTAGATAAAAGCAGAAGTAGATTCGAGACATAAGTCATAACTGTTAAATACTCACGTGGAATCCGAAACATGTTTGAAGTAGCTGGACATAAAGATGTCCTGTACGGGCGCAAACACGAGCAGTTCCTCGGGTTCACTGTAAACCAGTCGGTCCAGCTGTCGCCCCGGCCAGTTCTGTGCATCGGGCAAAAAAAGTAAGAACGATGTTACAGTAGCAGTTTCATTGCTTTTTAGAATGGGACCTCTTTGTGTTTGATCTTTGCCTTTGTGTTGACAACTGAGACCCTGTAAGAAAATTGAAGTATTTTTGCCTATAATTTTATGTCATGTCATGAATTGGAGACCAGCTATGGTGGCGGGTTCTCCCTTCCGTTTCTGCCAATCCTTCTGCCAATGTCCGGACAGCGAGACTTGAAGTCCCTGTTTCTTTCATCAAGTGTGTCAATGTTAGTTTGGGGATGTGTGGCGTAACGACCGAGTATTCGCTTCAGAATCAAGAGGTCCTGGGTTCAAATCCTGCCAAGGGACAGTCACAAACCTTGTGCTCTTGGGAAAGGCACTTAACACGACTTTCCTCTCTTCGCTCAGGTGAAATTGAGTACTAGTATGCCAGAATAATCATTATCATGATCGTGGGAAAACAATGGTTAAACCCTAGCCAGATGTTCAAGGTGGATTCCAGAAGGTCTTTGATGTAGGTCTTCGAGATTGGAAACAATAAGGTAATGATTTCTTCAGGTAAAACGCGGTGCCTGCCTTACCTGGATACTTGTCTCTCAGCCCATCCACAACACTCATCAGTTCCAGTTCCCTCAGAGCGTCCATCAGGACAGTTATGGTGGCGGCATCCCCTTCCCGCTCCTTCCACTCCTCCAACGTGTCCCGGCAGCGCGACTTGAAGTCTATGTTCCTCTCGTCAATGTTGTCTATGTCTGGCCGACTGAATCCTAGCTGGTAAGCCAGGTCCTTCCACTCGGCTGTCACGTTTTCCTTGATGTAATGGAAGTACCGACTCACATCTGCAATAAATAAAATATGTAATAGGTTATAACAAGTTACAAATTACAGATATCAGAACCTAACATAAAAGAAAGCTATGTGCACCATCGTTAATTTTTGGGGCTGTATAGTTCAGTTTAGTGTAAAAAGGAGAATAACCTGCTAAAATGTCCACTATTGATGACCAGAAAACAATCAGATCTAAGATTAATCGGAAACGCACCTTCTTCCTCAGCTTGAGAGCATCTGGCAACATCCTGTTGGCTCTGAGCTTCTGCGGATCCTTGCGTGCCTATTGTTAAAGAGGAACAGAATGGTAATGATGAATACATCGGAAATTAAAGCTTTCTTACAGCTCATGTTTTCTCTGCTTGAAAAAAAAGTACTTTGTTATAGGAACATGATTGGTTCTTCTGAAGTGCCATGATAAAGCTTGGACTGTAGACGTCAGAAAAATTTCTAGATTGCAGAAATCTCATTAACCAAGCAGGTTACAAAGATATCGATACATACCAGAGAATCTGTACACAAGGTCTGCTGATGTTGATGCTGTCTTCTTAACCCTGCGACACCTGACGTCACGGCCGTCCTCTGCAGTCCGGTCCCTCAGTTCGTGCTGGTACGGCCTGTCCAGTCCTGCCTTGATGCAGTGCGCACAGGTGACGTGGAGGGAGTACAGCACACCTGGCCACTCCTGCAGCAGCTGGACCAGCACCTCCAGCAGTGGGTGGACCACACCCCACATCTCATCTGCCTGGGCAAGCCTGCCTCTGGTTGCCATGGTGATGTAAGTGTCATCTGCAACAGGTTTGGAACAAACTAGAACGATGTAGTCCTGTCTGTAGGCCATGACTCCATCTTTCCAGTCTACCCTGTCCTTGACAAGTGGATGGATCCCAACACTGAACCTCTGAAACAGTCCCCGGGGACAGAATCCTCTGATGTTGCACATCAGCTGCAGCTGCTCCTGATCTTCTGGTACATCATCTGGCCAGACGCTCTTCAGCTCTTCTGGCATTTGTTTATGTAAATACCAGGGGATTTTGTACTGGCGGGTATGTTTGGAAGGGTCTCTATTGTCTCCAGCTTCTACCTCAAAACACAGGCCGAAATGTTGCATCAATGCTGTGATGATGTCTGGACTGACATTGGGTGGTAACAAACACGCCATCACTTCCCTCTGGATCAGTCCACAGTCGCAAAGATCCGACTGGAATGTACATAGCTGGGTAGACGTGAATTGAGAAAGTCTGGGTGTTAAGAAAAGTGCGCTTGTATCGTGATGAAACAGGTTTTTGAAAAGTTCAATCAAGGCGGGAGGATCATGGAAGACGTAGTCCTTGAGTTCCGGTATGTCCGTGTACCTGAGGATGGTTCCCACCTGCTGCAGGTAAGACAGGGCTGACTGTAGTCTTTCTAAAGAGAGTCCCACAAGTTGCTCAAGTCGTGCACAGTCAGTCATTGTCAGCCAATGCCGTGTGGACATTTGAACATCCTGAGTAACATGATCCTCCCGCGGAGACGTTACAGCACTAGAGCCAGCTTTATCGGCCCGTTCGGACGTTTCAGGGGAAACTTGGCGTCGAACTAGTTGTTCGAACTCTAGCCATGTCCTTGGCAGGATTCTTGTTAACGTCGGAAACAATTTCTTATTATTTGCTGTTTCTAACAAAAAGTCTTGAAATCTTTCCCAAGATCGAGGCGACCTCGATAGGTTGAATCGAGACTTGGGTTTAACGGACACGCAAAGCTCAAGCGCATCACCGACAATACGCAGTCCTGGCTTTAACGTGCGTAAGTGGTGCTGGCCTATGTCTTCCACTGATTTTAAACGACTTTGAATCTGTCTTTGTTCTTTTTCCCACCTCTCTCTTTGCAGGCTGACTCTTGCTTGAACGTCCTTGGTCTTTGTTTTTACTTCGCCAAGTCGACAAAGGTCCTTCTTGCTCCCTACTATAGAAACTACCGCTCCCGGCACTCGGGCATTCAGTGTGTCCAACCAGAACCCCACGGCTTCTGTGTACCTCTCTTCACTGCATCTGTATGTCTGCAGGTTCACTAATAACAGGTAAAAGGCATCTGGAGTCAGAAAGAACTGATGAGTGAGATGGTACACGTCATGGCCGCCAAAGTCGTGCACTTCAAATGTGATGTTGTCAACAGGTGCCCACTGAGTTATCTCTACACAGTGTGTGCGGTCCTCTTCTTTTGTAAGGGTGGATTCGCCCCTGTCTAGCGTCCGTACCAGGCTCGTTTTTCCCGCCATTTTCTCTCCCAAGACGACCACTTTCATATGAGCGCTTATTTTTTCTTCTGAGCGTTCAATTTCAGCAAAGTACTGTGAGATAGCAGCGATCCCGTAACGGCAAACTTCAGATGGTGGTTTTGTAAGTGGGTTTCCACTAACGTCAAGGTGACATGCGCTACTGAGCTTTCCAACCTCCGCGGGTAACGTTTGTAGTTTGTTATTGCTCAGGTTCAGCCGTTTTAACTGTGTCAGTCCCCCCACTTCAGGTGGGAGTATGCGCAGCTTGCACCCGGACAGATTCAAGTGTTTGGCATTAGTGAGTTGTCCGATTTCCGCGGGTAACGTCTGTAGTTGGTTACTGCGCAGGTCCAGCCATTCTAACTGTGTCATTCCGCCCACTTCAGGTGGGAGTGTGCGCAGCTCGCAGTAGGACAGATCCAAGTGTTTGACATTAGTGAGCTGTCCGATTGCTGCGGGTAACGTCTGTAGTTGGGTCCAGCTCAGGTCCAGCCATTCTAACTGTGTCAGTCTCCACACTACCGGAGGAACTGTGTCCATGTTTGTAGTCGATAGTTTCAGTACCCGGAGGTTGGTTAGTCCAGCCAGCCCATCCGACAGGTGGATCCCTCTGTTCCCGCTGAGGTCCAGTTCCTCCAGTAGATTGAGTCTCACTACTGCTGGTGGAACGGTGTCCAAATTACAGCCACCTAGTTTCAACACTTTTAAGTTGTTCAACCTGTACAAGTCATATGGTAGGGAGATCTGCATATTATTTCGTAGGTCCAGCACCTGTAGGTTTGGGTGTTTTGGTACTTCCAGTGTGTCCAGGTTACAGTCTTTTAATTCCAGGACCGTGAGGTTGATGAGACCAGACATGTCATCCGGCAGGGTGATTTTCTTGTTTCTACTGAGGATCAGCATTTCTAACTGCGGAAGTTTCATCACGGCAGCGGGAACTGTAGCAAGGCCATATAAGCTCAAGACTTTCAGGTTGATTAAATTTGTTAGCTCATTGGAGACCTTTATTTCCCAATTTCCTGCTAGATTCAGAGCTTCCAACTCTTTTATACCATATAGTTCGTCAGGCAGCTCCCTAAAATATCCAACCAAGTGTAATGTCACTAGAGTTATTCGTTTTCCATTAATTTCCCACTCTTCATATTTTAACTTCTGTCGCAGGCTCGATAGCGTAGCCATGGCGATTAGAAGTGTCGGGGAGTCTGGAATGAAAAAAAAAAAGCCAAATCGTTACATTACAATTATAGTATTATAGATGTCTGATGTTTGAATATTGGTAGTTTCATCTACCACATCCTTTTTAATACGCTATTTCTTGTTTTAGCGTCTCATTAGAGGGTGGAAACTATTAGCACAATCAAGACTTATGTGGCGACCGTACAGTTCTCACTTTCATTTATTAGACACGATTTAACAGTCTCCCCTCTGGTTGTGTGCTGTCAATTACTGGTTTGCCATAGCAACAGATTTCACCGACACCAAAAGACCTAAAGGGCAAGCAACCGCTGCATAAGGTCTCAGAAACATATTGTGTTTCCCATTTCAGGGTTGGTAGGTAAGATTTCTCTTTTTTCTTTTTGGATTTAGGATAAAATGATCCAATAAATATAGTTTAGCAAATTCAATGTAAAACTGAATTGCCACAGGATCAGGGATGTCTTTAGGAGCCCACCCTCCATTTTCTTGTGGGGTAGGGACTAATATTTCCCAGATTTACTCAATGAAATTGGAATTCAGACATAAGATCGAACATTTAACCAGTGATCTACTGAAAAAAGAAGGCTTTTAGTAGTTTTACTGTGGTGGATTATCACACATCTAGCCAGTCAGAAAGGCATTCATTCGGCCACATGCCTCCTGCTGACTGTGCCCATCCATGCGTCTGGTTCCCATCTACTTGCAGAAAGACCGTAATGTGTTAAAGTGATTAGGTTTATAGCGCATTGAAGCTTTCGACTACCAGCAGAGGTTGGGTTGGGTGAAAAAAATTCCAGTGCAAAAGAGAAACACTGATAAAAAAAGCCTAAAAACACGCCAAAAATAACCCCAAACCCAAACCTCTACTTGGAGAGTAAAATATCCAGGTGGGCCGACACATTGCCAAAACATCTTGTGGTCTTCAAAAATCACGTGTACAAGACTCTTGTCGTCCCTACAGACTTCTCACGATCAGCTTTTAGCCTTTCAAAATCTATCCAGTTGCTTTAGTAACTCTTATCTTAGACAGGACAATAGAACCGATCTCTCATTCGAGATTCTTGCCACAGTGGGTGAAAGCTAATTCGTACATAAGGCCACACCGACTTAATTTTATGGATGGCATCCTCTGAAGACCCCCAAACTAGTGCGCGCGGGCGAATGAAATAAAAATCCGGCCAAAAATAAAAATGCTACTAAACCACAGGAATACAAAGGCAAAGCTGATATTGTGAATTTGCGGCAGAACTTCGGCACATGCTAGCTTTTTGCGGATTTATAAATCGACACTGTACGTATGTATTCAGGTCTTGAGTCGTGGAGCTTTGGTAGCCTGGGTGCCATCCTCCAGAGTTACCACCAGCCCCGTACTGTCGCTACATAGCATGCTACCATGGACTATCCAGGCCAGAGCCTTGGATGACGTGATCTTTTTTTTTTTTTTTGAGAACAGGCGAAAATCAATGCGCGCGGATGTCATCCATAAAATTAAGTCAGTGTGGCCTAACCTCCGACCAGGTTGTGTTGGTGGCTACAAGACAGTGTAAAATTGACAAAATAATTATAAATTTGCGGGGCAATAAATATTCAATGAGCCATCCAAAGTCTGGCTGGTGAAAAAAAGATAGCCGTACAGCTCGATAAAAACGCCTAAAGACACGCCAAAAATAAGCCAAGTCCCAAACATGTTTGGAGATTACTGTTGGCAGAACAATCACTAAAAAAATGATAGCCTCCAGGTGGACCGACCTGTTTACCAAAATACTTCGTGGACTTCAAACCTCAAACACCACCAGACTGTTAGACAGGTGTTGACAGTGGAAGAAGGAATCAGCAGGAGAATAACTATTACCAAAAATCACGATGACTTTTAGTTAATAATATCCTCTCGAAGATTTTTTAACAAACCGTCCTGCAGTTTCAGAACAAGCTGCCAGGGTGCCTAAATTCACGTGACGTCTTCCCGAGCATACTTGCGCTACCTACCATCCAAAATACATGACCCTAACATGTCCAGAGATATCAAAACCAGAAACTGTGTTGCAGTACCAACGAAAGCCACTAGAGGGCCTGAAATATTATCATTTCAGGTTTTTGTTACGCCCTACCAAAACACCAAGTATGAAACCAATCCACCCAGCCGTTCTTGAGTTATCTTGTTGACCAACAGAAAGAATGACAGAATGAAAAACGGCAGCTGAAAAGATAACCTGCATGGCATTTCAGTTGAATGATACTAATTATATATACCCTTCGTGTAATGACAGAATGACAAACGCAACTGAAAATATACCCTCCATTTTTGTGGAGATAATGGCGCCAGCGGGCCCCGCCGCTCTACCCCCCAACTGCGCCCACCTTGCTCATGTCTTGACGTCCTGTCACACGACTTTGCCGGTTAGTTTACAAGTGAAAAGCATTGTGCCTCCACTCTACTTTACCGGGGGAAAAGGCAGGCCAAAAAAGCGAGAAGGAAGTGTTTATGACTTCGAATGACTCCAACGGCTCAATAGAACATACCTGGAGTGGCCAGCCAACGCAACTGAAAATATACCCTCCATAATGGCGCCACCGGGAATTGGACCAGGTCCTTTAAGATTACTATGCCATGCACAACCACAATTTTGTGTCCCTAAACAAAACGTTCCTTTGCTGTTAGTGTTATGAAGGTTTGGAAGTGCAGCTATCTGACTGGGTGTCGTCGCTGTTGTTTATAGTGAGGCCCATGGTGGGTAGTCCATCAATCAAGTCAAACTCTGGTGAGTCACTCATCCCATGTCATGCTATTGTGTTTGGAGGCGACAAAAACAAGACCCGCCCACAGATACATCATGGTTCAAATACTGTCAAAGCACCCACACGATGGTGATATTCGGATGTTATATTAGTCTATAAAATGATACTACTGTGAGAAAATGTTTGAACGTTTGTGTCAACAGGTACCTGCCTAGGTAAGACAACAAAGATGGCGATGACCTTGTGCAAGTTGGAAGTTTCTAGATTTACTCGACATTGCTGGTTCCGCCCTTCCAACCGTCCTCCTTTTAGAACGAATTTTACTGCCGCGGACCAGTGGGAAAGACTATGCGGGCCGAGCTAGCGACTTCGACGATTGGGAAAGGCCCATCGGGCCCCGCCGCTCCTCTACCCCCAACTGTGGGGCCCGAGTTGGCGACGTCCTTGGTCAAGTCTTGACGCTCTCGGTCACCCATGAAAAACTAAACGAGCATTGTCATTCCACTGTACTTTACCGGGAAAAATGCAGGGCAAAAAAGCGACGAGGAAGTGTTTATGACTTTTTAAAGTCAAATGACTCCAACAGCTCAATAGAACATACCTGGACTGGTCAGTAAATGTACACCTCATTAAACATCAAACGACGATAAAAGCTCATAGCAACTATATTGACGTCATTGTCATGATGACAAAACATGTGTAGGGCCCATGGTGGGTAGTTCACCGATGTCACATTCATTCTTCCCATAATAAATGGTTTATTGGCCAAACATCACCCGTGCAATCGCAGCCTTATAGTGCTGAATTGATGCAGGGTTTACAATCAGATGATACAAATGGTAATAATACACATAATAATACACATAATACACAATGTCATGATACATATTTGTTCCCATTTTTTGTGGAGCTGCCGCAAGGGTCTGTGCGGCTGCCATTCGGCGCCACAAGGTGATACACCTCAATACGGCTTTCCCCAACCAAAGTTAGGTACCCATTCACACCTGGGTGGAGTGAGGAAAGTCGTGTAAAGTGCCTTTCCCAAGGGCACAACGTCGGGGCGCATGTTCAGACATGTCCCGGGTACGACTCGGGTTCGAATCCGGGTCTCCTGGTTCACAGTCGAATGATCTACCACTACGCCACCCGACGCCACGGCATGTCATGCTATTGTGTTTAAGGCAGCAAAACAAGACCCACCCACAAATACACAATGATTCAAATACTTACAGCACTCAAAGCACCCACACGTCGGTGATATTTGGACGTTACGTTAGAAAGGATACTACTGGGAGAAAATGTTTGAACTCACGTTTGTGTCAACAGGTACCTGCCTAGGTAAGACAAGAAAGATGGCGATGTCGTTGCGCAGGTCTGGAAATTTCTAGCTTTACTCGATCTTGCTGGTTCCGTCCTTCCAAACGCCTTCCTTTCAGAATGTCAGTTTTCGTTATCGTGAGCCGTTCGGAAAGGCTTGGCTGGGCCGAGCTAGCGAACTCGCGATCGCGGGAAAGGGCCTTCAGATGGGCCTCGCCGCTCTACCCCCCCCCCCCCCAACTGGGGGCCCCAAGTTGGCGACGGCTTTGCTCAAGTCTTGACGTTCTTTCACAGGGTTTTGCCGGTAAGTCCTTGTTCCTCCACAAGAAAACCTCACGCCCGTCTAAAGCTAACCGTCCCCTGTCCTTCTACTGTGTTTTACCGGGGAAACTGCACGGCAAAACGGGCCGAGCCCGGCCGTGGCCGGACCCTGGGAGCCCTGCTAATGATATAAGCCCCGCACTGACGGCGCTAACTGGTTAGACCACCTTAAACAATGGGTAGCTGTGAGTCTGTATCTGCCTCAGGCCTAGTTGTCTGTCTTGGCGTGCGTACATGCTTCAAAGCTGACGTCAATCAACTCGTCTGTGACCTCAGGCTCCTACAGCAGTAGCGTCGGGGCTTGTTGTCACTTCGTACCGAATTCCGGAGGCCTCATATAATTCAGTAAGATATTCATAGCTTTTGTAAATTAATCTTTTTTACCTAGTTTACGGCCAAACTACCGGCCCAAGTGTGCTCCATACAAATGAATGAGTGGAAACTCGCGGGATAATTGGGCATTTAGGTGTTTACAGTGACACATGACAAATTTACCCCCTTCTGGTCCGACATCGGGTTTTTCTTGTAATATTTCCTTTGGTTCCATCTTTGCTGGAGTACTTTAGAAAGTACGGTTTAACAGATGTAGTGCCCCCGCCCCAAACACGAAAACGTTGTTGTCATGGCGACGCATTGTTTATGCAAGTACTCAGCACATGACTTGCAACCTTAGTAGTTATTGCTTGCGGTGTAACGTTTAGTAAGCTGAAGAACATCTACAAACCGCCAGATGTCCCCACTGACATAGCAGAGGTTTCTATGATCGACCCAAAATTACCATTCGCGTTTTTATCGGGTTTCCTTTTTTGTGTGGAGAAATGTAATCTCCAAGCAGATACAAAAGCGTGACAAAAGACCAGAGATGGTCCATACGCCATCCTTGGGCCGACCCTCAGGTGTCGTATGGACCCTCTCTGGCAAATGGACACTTCCTGGCCAATTTGATACTGCCGTTTGCCATCATAGCATCTGCTTGGAGATTAGAGACATGTACAGGGTCAAGCATGGTCATCTTATGAAAAATGGCGGTCAATTTAACTTTGAGTCTTTCAAAAAATAAAGAAGGAGTCAGAAGTAAGCAAACGTCACTCAAAGTAAGTTTTTACAGATTTATTAAAGACAAAACTTCTCTGAAATACTATCTTACCTGCAGCACAGATATAACATCCTATAACATCCTTAAACCTCACAATAACCTTAGCTTTTTGTCGTTAACTTACTGATAGGATTTCAGGCGTCTTTTGCATTTACTGCCTTCAGATGGTGCGCAAAAATGTAGCAACATGCTACAAACGTTTGAACAAGCCACTCCCATAGGGTGAGGAAAATGTAGCAACATGCTACAAAAATGGAGCAAAATGTTACAAACAAACTTTTCAACAAGCTGCTCCCATAAGGAGCTTTCAATGCTACACAGTAGCGATGTGTCCAGCCCCTCTGACATAACTACAGTTTAAACCCTAAGAAGAGACATGCCTGAGACAAAGATATTTCAGTTTGAGAAATGTAAACACAATATTGTTGTACTTTACAGGATTTGGCAGGAAATCCTGTGACGGTTCAATGTGATGATTTTTGTTTTAAGAAATGTAGTTTGTTACATTGTCAAAGCTGTGTCAGTTGAAGCTAAGGATTTTAACATTGGGAAAGAAACGTTACAGTACTAGTGTCAATAATGTTGTCACAGTGGGATGCCACATTCTTCCAAGAACTTCCTGTGCGCGTCATTCCAGTATTCTGACGCCAACAGTTTGTCTTTCAGCCGTTTTGCGGCCTGGAACTCCTCCTGTCCACCTTTAAGTATATTGATGATGCGCTCCGCTAGTCCTTCGGCAACTACGTCGTCGCTGCCGTCAATGTCTACAATCAGGCGGCTGAATTCGGCCCCTCTGCTTTGCAGGAACTCTGCTAGTCCCGATTTGCCGGAGACGAGAACCGGGACGCCTGCAGCGATGGCCTCGAGACCGACCAGTCCGAATGGCTCTGCGCGTGACGGCATCAGGACCAGGTGTGCTTCTTGTAAGTCTTTGCTTAGCTCTTCCTGAGTGGCGTACTTCAGAGGAGTGAAGTGGAATGTACCCTTCTCAATGTTGGCTTGGATGATTCGTTTGCTTTCTGGGAAATCCTCAGCGCTGATGCCGCGGACTCTCAATCTTACATCTAGTCTTTCCTCTAGGGCACCACAACGTTCTATCACAATGGCCATGGCCTTCGCCACAAGGTCGTAACCCTTCAGCTTCTCAACGCCCTTGACCCTGCCGACACACAGAACCACTTTGGTCCTTGTTTTGACATACGTTACGTCCATTTGACTGAAGATGTCGGATGGCTTCGGCAAGAACAGGTGGTGCGGCCTTGAGAGTCTGATCTGGTTCTGGTAGTAATCATGCATTGTTGGTCCGACGGAGAACACAACGTCAGCCTCTTCCGTGTCTTCCCGAATAGCTTTCATTTTGTCTCCAATGCTCATGGCCTTATCTAGGCTCTTGTAGTGCTCAGTGTCTTCCGGCATGACATGATTGAAGAGGATGAACTTGGCGGATGGAAGACGATCTTTCTTGATGTTCCTCGCAGCTGTGCTGGTGACGTCAGCATGGCCAACGATGACGCTTATATCTGACGGGATGTTTGGATAACGGACTTTGTGGTCCTCAGTGAGCCAGATTAAGTCGGGTGGTCCTTTGTCACCTTTTAGAGAAATGGGTAGGACCAAGTCAATGCCGTGTTTCAGTGCTTCTTGCTTTTCCGCTTCTGTAGCCTTTAATACAGTGATGAGGACCTTCGCTCCGGCAGTGGTCAGCAGGTCTCTCAGCTGGCCGTTAACAGTGGAGATTCCGCCCTTCGAAGTTCCGAATTCGTCATTGACCAGCAGCACCACAGGTTTGCCTCCTGGTGAGTTCCCTAGAAAAGAGGTAATAAATTACTATCGCTCAGCTTCGGTGTAAAAGTACGTCTAACCCTCGGAAGAGGGGCGAACAACAGACACCAAACCGGATAATGAGTGAGTGAGTTCTGTTGTAAGATGCAGAATAATATAGTTCAGACAGTCCTGAGGTAACGTCATCGTCGCCGTTCACATCGTCTCCACAATGCAGGCCACCGCTGCTTCCCTGTCTTCTGTCGAGCGCTTGCCATCTCACTGTACTACATGTAAGTAACTCTAGTACAATCATAGCAACCGTAGATCACTGTGAAGTGAACAGTTCCATGGAGACTTGTTTCGATTTCTTTTCATGTGACAGACCTGTGTAATTTATCATTATCGTTTTGCAAAATATTCGGAAGCTTTACCGTAATGTAATCGCCTAGCCACTGTATATAACAGCATGGCCTTGTGCAATTCATAGGATATGTGTCCTATAGTTAGACTGATGCACCTGATTGCTACAACTTCAGGGCTCAAACAAAACAACTGGCCACTAACTAACCTGCAAACGTCCTGGGATCTTTTCCATACACATCATGGACCGGGGGTCTTTTGAGTTGATGGGAACTTACTGTAAAACATGAAGCAAGATACACAAAAAATGAATCACGTCCTTCATTGCAAGCCATAATGTCTACACCCATCTGTTGAGGGTTTTATTCAAATCACAGGTCTGTTAACTTTATTTTGTTACTTCCCCCCTCTCACTACACACACACACACACACACACACACCTAGGAGTCTTTGAAAAGCGTTTGCGGGCATTAGAACTTTACTGGTGAAATAAAGAAATCAATTTAAACGAAATCATAGCTTACATAGTAAGCTTAACACTAATTTTGAGATGGTTGCAGAAATCTAATCAACCAAGTAGGGGACTTCAATACATACCAGACAATCTGCCTGGTCTGTACACAAGGTCTGCTGAAGTTGATTCTGTCTTCTTGACCCTGCGACACCTGACGTCACGGCCGTCCTCTGCAGTCCGGTCCCTCAGTTTGTGCTGGTACGGCCTGTCCAGTCCTGCCTTGATGCAGTGCGCACAGGTGACGTGGAGGGAGTACAGCACACCTGGCCACTCCTGCAGCAGCTGGACCAGCACCTCCAGCAGTGGGTGGACCACGCCCCACATCTCATCTGCCTGGGCAAGCCTGCCTCTGGTTGCCATGGTGATGTATGTGTCGTCTGCAACAGGATTCGAACACACTAGTACGGGGTAGTCCTGCCTGTAGGCCATGACTCCATCTTTCCAGTCTACCCTGTCCTTGACAAGTGGATGGATCCCAACACTGAACCTCTGAAACAGTCCCCGTGGACAGAATCCTCTGATGTTGCACATCAGCTGCAGCTGCTCCTGATCTTCTGGTACATCATCTGGCCAGACGCTCTTCAGCTCTTCTGGCATTTGTTTATGTAAATACCAGGGGATTTTGTACTGGCGGGTATGTTTGGAAGGGCCTGTATTGTCCTTAGCTAGTACCTCAAAACACAGGCCAAAATGTTGCATCAATGCTGTGACGATGTCTGGACTGACATTGGGCGGTAACAAACACGTCATCACTTCCCTCTGGATCAGTCCACAGTCGCAAAGATCCGACTGGAATGTACGTAGCTGGGTAGACGTGAAGTGAGAAAGTCTGGGTGTTAAGAAAAGTGCGCTTGTATCGTGATGAAACAGGTTTTTGAAAAGTTCAATCAAGGCGGGAGGATCATGGAAGACGTAGTCCTTGAGTTCCGGTATGTCCGTGTACCTGAGGATGGTTCCCACCTGCTGCAGGTAAGACAGGGCTGACTGTAGTCTTTCTAAAGAGAGCCCCACAAGTTGCCCAAGTCGTGCACAGTCGGTCATTGTCAGCCAATGCCGTGTGGACATTTCAACATCCTGAGTCACGTGATCCTTCCGCGGAGACGTTACAACGCTAGAGCCTGTTTCAGTGGAAGCTTGGCGTCGAACTAGTTGTTCGAAGTCTAGCCATGTCTTTGGCAGAATTCTTGTTAACGTCGGAAATAATTTCTTATCATTTGCTGTTTCTAACAAAAAGTCTCGAAATCTTTCCCAAGATCGAGGTGACCATGATAGGTGAAATAGAGACTTGGGTTTAACGGACACACAAAGCTCAAGCGCATCACCGACGATACGTAGTCCTGGCTTCAGCGTGCGTAAGTGGTGCTGGCCTATGTCTTCCACTGATTTTAAACGACTTTGAATCTGAATGTTAGTAGTCACTTCTCCTATTTGTCTTTGTTCTTTTTCCCACCTCTCTTTTTGCTTTCTGATCCTTGCTTGAACGTCCTTGGTCTTTGTTTTTACTTCGCCAGTTTGACAAAGGTCCTTCTTGCTTCCCACTATTGTAACCACCGCCCCCGGCACGCGGGCATTCAGTGTGTCCAACCAGAACCCCACGGCTTCTGTGTACCTCTCTTCACTGCAGCTGTATGTCTGCAGGTTCACTAATAACAGGTAAAAGGCAGCTGGAGTCAGGAAGAACTGATGAGTGAGATGGTACACGTCATGGCCACCAAAGTCGTACACTTCAAACGTAATGTTGTCATCAGGTGCCCACTGAGTTATCTCTACACAGTGTGTGCGGTCCTCTTCTTCTGTCAGGGTGGACTTGCCCCTGTCTAGCGTCTGTACCAGGCTTGTTTTTCCCGCCATTTTCTCTCCCAAGACGACAACTTTCAAATGAGCGCTTGTCTTTTCTTCCGAGCGTTCAACTTCATCAAAGTACTGTTTGATAGCAGCGATCCCCTGACGGCAAACTTCAACTGGTGGTTTTATTAGTGGATTGTCACTAACGTCAAGGTCACGTAAGCTACTGAGCTGTGCAAACTTCGCGGGTAACGTCTGCAGTTGGTTACGGCTCAGGTCCAGCCGTTCTAACTGTGTCAATCTCCCCACTTCAGGTGGGAGTGTGCGCAGCTTGCACCAGGACAGATCCAAGTGCTTGACGTTAGTGAGCTGTCCGATTTCCGCGGGTAACGTCTGTAGTTGGTTACCGAGCAGGTGCAGCCGTTCTAACTGTATAAGTCTGCATACTTCCGGAGGAACTATCGTCATGCCTGTTGTCGCTACTTTCAGTACCCGGATGTTGGTGAGTCCTGCCAGCCCATCCGGCAGGTGGATCCCTCTGTTCCCGCTGAGGTCCAGTTCCTCCAGCTGGGGGAGTTTCAGTACTGCAGGTGGAACGGTGTTCAGGTTACAGTCACGCAGTCTCAGCACTTTCAAGTTTTTTATCCTATACAGCTCATCTATCAGGGAGGTCTTCGTATTGCCTGTTAGATTCAGCTCCTGTAGGTTTGGTAGTTGCAGCACTACAGGCGGTAGTGTGTCCAGTTTACAGCCAGCTAAGTCCAGGGCAGTGAGGTTGGTGAGACCCGACATCTCATCCGGCAGGGTGATTTTCTCATTGCGGCTGAGGATCAGCATTTTTAACTGCGGAAGTTTCATCACGGCAGCGGGAACTGTGGCAAGGTTGCAGTTAGCTAAGCTCAAAACTTTAAGGTTAGTCAGTTTTGTTAGCTCATTTGGGAGCTCTATGTGCGCGTTACTTCCTAGAATCAAAGCTTCCAGCTCTTTTAAACCATAAAGTTCATCAGGTAACTGCCTCAAATTTTGTCTAAACAAGTCTAGCGTCAACAGAGTTCTTTGTTTTCCACTTTTTTCCCACTCTTTATATTCTAACTTGTGCCGAAGGCTCGATCGCGTAGCCATGGTGACTAGAAGTGTGGGACTGTCTGGAATGAAAAAAAAAAACAATTGTTTTATTACAATTTAAAGTTGTTTGATATCTGATACATTAGTAGTTTTGCTTCGTCTATATCGTTTCAGTTTATTTGTTGTTTGACATCAGTTTCATCGCTGTCACCATGCATCAATCGATCTTTAGAGGATGCAGCCCACTTAAACTACAGAACTTCAGTTTTGGTGCCTTTGTCATGTATTCGTTAGACACCATTCAACAAGTGGCCCTCTGGTCGTTTACATATCTGTCAATCACTGATTGCCATGGCAACAGATATTAACAGTGGACATCCTAGGAATTTGTATTCTTTCCATTTATAACACTATAAGAGGAGCAAAAGTGACATCATTGTTTTTGGTGTGCTAAAAGTAATCTCGCGATTTAGAAATGATACCTGATACTCTGTCCAGGTTCAAAGGTCATGTTTGTAAAGTGCGCTCTGGTCAAAGTTTAACCACGTGATCAGAATTCGCAGCTTGAAGTCGGTTTGGTGGACATTATGACCTTTTGTACTCACTTAAGGAAAGACCGGTACGCTACGAACAGCCTTAAGCAAGAAGGGTAGTATATTGAAGGGTAGTATCCAATTGGCAGTGCAGTATCAAATCGGCAAGGCAGTATCCAGTACAATACCCGAAGTGTAGTGGCTGGAAAACAAGTACCATTGTGATAGATAATGATAACAAAAATGACCCCAGATAAAAACAAGTCATATAAAAAGCCGCAAAAAATATGGCGAAGCCCAAACCTCTGCTTGGAGATTACTATTTCCAGACCCATCACTTAAGATCGATAAAACCTGCAGGTGACTTGTTTACAAACATTGCCAAAAAACCTCGTGGACTTCAAACCTCAAACATTACAAGGCTCGAAGAAGTGCAGACTATTTAGCCTTCAGCCTTCTATCCAGTTCCTTGAGTAACTGTTATCTTGACCATGCCTTGATTATTAAACAGGACTATACAAGTATAACCGATCTCTCATTCGTGATTCTTGCCACGGTGAGGGGAAAGCTGATGTGTACATATTAATCTTCCACGAGATGTGTTGGTCGCTACAGTATCAAATTTGCAGGACAGTATCAGATGCGCCATCCAATGTTTTGCTGGTGAAAAAAAATGATGATGATAAAAAAACTGTAGAGCCCGATTAAACGCCTAAAAGCACGACAAAAATAACCCGACGCCCAAACCTCTGCTCGGAGTGTGCTGTTTGCAGACCCATCACTCAAAAACTGATAAAACCTCCAGGTGAGCTGAGTTGTTTGCACACATTGCCAAAACACCTCGTGGACTTCAAACTTCAAATATCACAATACTCTTATTAGTCTGTACAGAGTTTACACAATCAGCCCTTAGCCTGAATATTCCGTACGACCAGTGACTCTGAAATGTCGACGATTGACCAAGGAATCGGGCCGACATGCATGGGCGTATCTAATGATTACGTAACGTAAGGTCATTATGGCACACCTAGATATCGTTTGATTTGTTACGATATTGTTACAACAACGGTATATGGTTTCAAAAAATGTTTAAAAAATTGTGGGACCAAGGCCTCTGAAATGTTGATAGTTGACCAGGAATCAGCAGCAACATGATAGTTACTAACACGGCGCCATCGCAGGGCTGTTGCAAACTCAATTAGCTGATAACAAAATCGACCTTTTTGCACCAAACGGCAAAAACACATGGTGGACTTCAAACCCCAGACATCACGAGAGTAAATCGAGTTGACAAAACCACCCCTTTAAGCGTACACCGATCTGTTCAAATGAACCGCTGGAGATAACGCGTCTTATTTACCAATGGGAGGCCCTCACCGTATGAAAGGTTAATGTTAGCTTATATGATAAGCGGACACTTTGGTTGCTAAAAAAATATCACTGATGTGCTAACAATAATAACATGTTCGTTCTTGTTAAAGCTGGGAGCTTTATTAGTAGTGGGCGATAACACATCAATATTTTTACTGTTGGGTAGCCCTCACCCCTACGATGGTTAACGTTAGCTCATACGATTAGAGGTCACTCTTACTCATGATCGAAGTCAGAGGCTCACTTTACAAATAACCGCAGCGGGTATTTAGTGGATAAACCAGTTAGCAATGAACGGCTTTCTTTTTTAAACGGTTGACTATACTCGGTCGGAATATATTTTAACAATCATATTTTACGATCTTGTTAAAGACAGGGAAGGGAGTGCAGTTGACCCCAGCAGCTAGTGCCTCTCCAGTGGTACAATATCACATGTCTGATCTGACCAATCAATGTAATGACCATTACCTTTTACCAATGATAACATCCCCATAGCAACTATCTAATACACGTACATTGACGCCATGAGAATGCATTGAACAAATACATACGGCTGGGCCATGTGAGAAAGGGATCGAGCTAACAAGATAACATTCTCCCCATCCTCTACAGACCCACTAAATGAACGAAGACCCTTGCGACAGTTCCACAAAAGTGTGTGGAGCAAATGTTACATATAGCGCGTATTATTGTAAATCCAGCATTAATTCAGCGCTATTAAGGATTAGATTGCACGGTGAATGTTTGACCAATAAACCATTTATTATTATAAGTCTCCCCAGGACTAAATCACTATGCAGAAAATTCTGCGGAGTTTATGCGGAGGGTGTGGAGTGTGTACGTTTGGTCCTTCGTACAAGTTACTGCACAGGCAAAAGTGCGTTGCACATAAGAGGGTCCCTGGGAACTGACAAAAGAGCCTGACTAGCCGAGGATAGGAAGAATGCCTATAGCTAGGACAAATGTTGTTTTCCGATTCTACGATTCTATTTGTCTCTTTATTAATTTTTCGGCCAAAATGGTGAAACAAGCAAAGTTTAATGTAGAAGTGACATGCTTCGAGACCAGGGCTGTCTCCAGGACCCGTTTCTTCTTTTTTTCTTGTAACGACGGGTAAAAAAACTGTCACTCTGTTTTTTCAAATACTTAATTCTTAAAATGCATGACGTAACGTTTCAGAGGGTTAAATTGGCAATAGATAAAATTTTATGGTCTCACCATTCTTTCCTATGCCTTATAAGCTCATCAAAGTCTACCGACACAAAGATCATCAAGCCTAGATTCCAGCTTCACAAAAAAACGAATTTGCGTTATCAAAATAATTGCTGCACTGATCGATATCGTTCCAAGACAATTTTATGACACATTGATATTTAGTGCGCAACACAATACTATAAATGTAAACAGGCCACGTACTCACGTTTTGTGTACAGCAGTCAGGAAGATGTGAGAAGTTGAGGTGAGAAAGTTCACAAAGTCGACAGTGTGTTGATACAATATGTCTCTCTGTGAGGTAGCGTCGACAAAGGTCCAATCAACGTTTCCAGCGAGGAAATAGTCCTGGTTACTATCTCCAATAAGGAAATCCTACGAGCGTGCAAAACGGCCCGCTTGAAGGAGAATAAGTTCACGAGAAAGTGCGTTACAACACAACGTAAGTCTGGCAGTCTCGACGCGAGTTTCCTCTTGTCTCCAACAGGCGTCCCTAAGTGTTATTTTACCCCGGACATTAGACCAGAGTAAGTCCGTGAGAAAGCGCGTTACACACAAAGTAGGGCTGGAGGGCACGAGTGTCTCCAACAGACCTTCCTAATTGTTATTTTTCCCCAGACAAGACCAAACTAAGTCCGTGAGAAAGCGCGTCCCCCTCGTGCCTGTTCCGTCCGCCGGCCCGGGCCGGAGCCCGCCGAACTGCCCACAGCGGCACGACCCGGCTATATAACATGGCGCCGTTACCATGGTGAGGAAAACTGTCGTTATATTACCTGTCAATCAAAAATGCCGATAAAACCTCCAGGTGGGCCGACTTGTTTGCACCGAGCGGCAAAAATAACTTGTGGACTTCAAACCGCAAACATCACAAGACTGTCGGCAGTCTGGGCAGAGTTGAAACCCGATACGAGAGACCTTCAAATCGTGAAGATTTTCGGATGCATGGGAATTATTTTCTTTCCTTGGCTTTTTAGTACTTCTTCAAGCATGTGTGCTTCTAGATGGGATGACAAGATTTGTACCAATTTCTATCTTAAATATTAGATATCCCACTGATCACCGGTCTATCCAATGGTTTTTCAAAAAACACTATCTTCTTGTCCACCCCTAAACAACATCTGGACGTTTTAAAACTAAAACCCTTTCTGTCCCGTGAAAATTTTGCTGAACTCCTCTGGCGTAGCAGGTGTAGTCTACATCATGACCAAATAAGGCAGGAGGTTCATGCAAAGTTACCTGTCCGGTCAACGTCCGACAGGGTATGTCTGACGTCATACAGAAGTCAACCTCAGTACGTGCATCTGATAACTTCTGGCTGTAGTGGAAAGTTCTAGAGATCAGTGACGCTTCAGTTGGGGAATTTTTAAATGGTCTCCGAAAGGAGACAGTCATTGACGAAAAGTAGTAAATGCTACTCGAAGCGTCTGATAGCTTTCAAAATATGTCAAGAGAGACACTTTGTGCATTTAACTCGCACTGTTTGTATTTGTAACCCAGGGCAGTTTTACCCCTTTCCTTTAACGATGGTGTTCTTGTAATGTTTCCTCGGGTTCCCTCGCTGATGGAGTTGTAAAGCTAGCGTAGTTTAACACATACAGTGTTGTCTATGATATCTTATGTCAGTCAATATGTCTTTGGCCCCACGCCTCATCCAAACACAAGTACTCAGGAGCGCCAAAGACCCCACCAGCAGCCGCACCGATTATTGCATGCAGTATACTAGTAACTTTTTAACTGGAGGATAACTTTAAGCCTCATCAAGAACAACATACAGTAAGTCTCTTTAGATTCGCGGGGCCTAAAGTTCGCGGTTTCGGGAAAATGTACAATCCGCGGTATTTTTAGATTCGCGATTTCTCCTTGGCCATTCCAAGAAGAACTTGTAATGTGAATGTTAAAAATAATAAAAGTTCGTGTCCCGGCTCATCCCCTAAAATGCGGCGCAAAAGAATCTTTCGGGAAAATATATATTCCTATTATATATATAAAGCAAATTTATGCCGTTTTCGGCAAGATTTTGATCCCGGAAGTATGCAAAGGTCGCATTCGGTTTTGTAGGCCCACGGTAGCGTTTCTATCCAGCAAAACAAGAAGAAAAAAAACGCCCGCATAGCAGGGTGCAAAAGAGAATCAACTAACATTTCCCAGATAGCGGCAGTTCTATTTTTCATAAAAATATTTGCAGATTTGCCCGATGTGCCCGCAATTTTCAAGTGCCCGCGCGCGCATGGCCGGCGCTTTGCACGCAAAGATTTTTGTCCGGCGGTGCACGTTTGACACGGCCAGTGCTGCAGTATCGCGATTCGGTGTCTCATATTATTTTTGATATCAGTATAACTTAAAAAAAATTTGGTACTCAACATACATACATTTGCGGAGAATAAAGTTGATTTGCAGTGATTTGTGGATCGCGTGTGTTGTTTCAGTGTTTCGCTTACCGTCGTGAATCGGCCCTCGTGAATGCATGTGGGGAGGGGGGCACACTTACGCAAAACATATTCGCGGGGAAATAGATTCGCGGTACAAAGGTCCCCGCGAATTCCGCGAATCTAAATATACCGCGGAAATTTGTAGACTTACAGTACTTGGGTTTAAATCTCGGGATTTTGCTTGCTGTCATTCAACTCTTTAACACAGCTGATGGTCTACCGTGCACCTTAACTTAATATTCCAAACAGCTACAACTTTCGATCTGCAAACAACCTTTAACTTTTTAAGCTGCAACCCTTTGACGTGGACCACTTTTCATTGTTTTGATTGACATGAACTAGGAAGCGAATTGCCGGGTCATCGGGTGATTCCACTGGCGTGCGGGGGTGTCGGAGCAATATCCGCTGATGTGTTGAAATGTACGGGGTCAAGCACTGCCATCTTTTGGAAAATGGCGGCTAAGTTAACTTTAAGTCCTTTAAACAACAAAGAAAGAGTCAGAAGTAAGCAAACGTCACTCAAAGTACGTTTTTACAGATTTATTGAAGACCAAAAAGTCTCTCTGGAATACTACATTACCTGCAGCACAGATATAACATCTTTTGACGGTTATTCATTATTTACATACATAAACTTGAAAATAACCTTACCCTTATATCTTTTCCTCGTCGACTTAAAATTTCAAGCGTCTTTTGTATTTACTGCGTCCAAATGGTGCACAAAAAGTTAGCAACATGCCACAAAGATTTGAACAATGCTACATGTACACAGGTTGAGGAAAATGTAGAAATGTTCTACAAAACTGTAGCAAAATATTCCAATCATTTCAATAAGCTACTATACTCCCATAGGGAGCTTTCAATGCTACACAGTAGCGATGTGTCCATCCCCTCTGACATAACTGTGGCTGACCAGTTTAAACTACCAGGACGTGCCTGACACATGGTATTTCAGTTTGGGAAATGTCCTAGTAATATTCTCGTGGCTAGCGGGATCATGTCTGCCTGGACATCTTGTGAAAACTCAATATGTGTTGATTTATAGCATCTGTTATGGATTGAACAATGTAGGTCATTGTTACAGCAAGGATCTTCAACAAAGTCCTTCGTTACACTGTAAAAGGCCGGACATCATTGTTCTGCACTGGATTATGTTTGCATAGAAATTCTGTGAAGACTACATACGTGTTGCTTTAGAGCATCTGTTATAAATTGTGAAATGTATGTCTTTAAATTTGTAACACTGTGAAAATGTGAAAGTTGAAGCTAAGGATTCTAATACTGGTCAAATGCAGCCGGAGGGAAGAAGTAGAGCCTCTTGCGTAGGGTGTGCGTCACTTCCGGTTGCTGCTTGTACTCTTGGATTTGGGTTTTCACGTCTGCTACCTGGGGAATGAAAGGAAAGCGTCAGATTTACTTGCCCTATTGTATCCGGAATCGTGACTATTTGTTTCTATGCTTGAACGATATCCTTAGTCGGTGTCCCTGGTGCTGAAATGGGGAATCCACAAGGCAGACTTGCATGAATTAGGCAGTGCAAGCATTAATGATTGTGCTCAGACTGGGTCGATAAACTATATCTACGAGACATGTTTCACGAGTGGTAGCTGATTGTCGTTATGAATGTATTTACTGTTTCTACTTACATTTTCTTGCTGAGACGGTCTACTTCGGGTCAGAGATGGTCCAAGCCCAACAACTGCAAATACTGAAAAATGAATCAGTTATAAGGGATAAAGCCATTGTTAAGTAGTATACGATAAGAAACGAAGTAACGAAACATTTACTTGAACTATAAAGTATTTACAAGGTATAAAGCTTAAATATTATCATATGATTACTTATTAGGGAGTACATGTACCAAGATCAATATAAAAGACTTTCTACTGATAATGACATATAAACATACCGGACAGTCTGGCTGGTCTGTACACAAGGTCTGCTGACGTTGACACCTGACTTCACGGCCACCATCTACAGCCCGGTCCGTGACGCCTTCAGGACCAGGTACGCTTCTCCGAAGTCCGAGTCCATCTCTTCCCGTGCCTCGTACTTTAGGGAAGTGAGTTAGAATGTGTCCGGATCCTTCACAATGTTGGCTTGGATGATTCCTTTGCTTGCTGGGAAATCTTCAGCGCAGACGCCGCGGACACGTAATATTGCCTTTAATTTTTCCTTTACGTCTGGCCAGCGTTCTATAGAGGCCATGGCCGTCTCCTAGCCCTTCATTATCAAGCCCCTAAACTTCTCAGCACCCTGATTGCTGCGCCCGCTGCGTCCACTGTTGCCCCTTGACCCCTACTGATCTGCTTCTGCAGCCGTGATGCCGCAGGCCTGCAGGAAGGCATTGTGGGATTCCTCCCAGTACCTGGACGCCACGAGCTCCCGCTTGAACCTGGCGGCTTTCTCGAACTCCGCGTCGTTATGCTCGAGGATGTCCACGATTCGGTCTGCCCACCTCTTTGCGTCTCCGGCACGATCGCGGTCGTTCACGCTGGTCTCCACGATGACGTGCCTGTGCTCTGCGCTGAGTTTCCCCTGATCAATCAGGTCGGTGATCATCTCTGCCAAGCCGGTCTTGTCGGAGATGAGTACGGGGATGCCAGCGGCGATGGCCTCCAGGCCAACCAGCCCAAACGGCTCGGAGCGGGACGGCATCAGGACCAGGTGGGCCATCGTCATGTCGTCCCTGATGTCCTCCTGGGTCCCGTACGGCAGCAGGGTTGGGTTCAGGTCGGGACTGTTCAGGGCGTCTTCCAGAATCTTCTGGCTTGTCTCAAAGTCGTCCTCGCTGATGCCGCGGACACACCAACGGGCGTTCTTGATTATCTTTATCACCTCCCTCAGGGACTGTCCAGCGAGGTCATGACCTTTCAGCTTCTCCACGTTCCTCACCCTGCCGATGGACAGTACAACTTTTTCCCCTCCTCCGGGACTCACGTCGGCATCCAGAAATATCTTGGATGGCTTCGGGAGGAAGATGTGGTGATTCTGTGGTTTCTTCTCTCCCTTGTACTTGGTGCTGCAGTGGTCGTAGATCCGCTTGCCTACCGAGAAAACTGCCTTTGCGTTGTCTACTTTATCAAGCATGTCCTTCTCTTTGTCCCGTGCTTTCATGGCCTTCCGGCCTCCCTTGTAGTACTCTGTATCCTCGGGTATGACGTGGGTGAACATGATGAGATCTGCCTGGTCCTTGTAGTACTCGTTGTGGATGTTATGCGTTGCCATATCTGTGATGTCAGCGTGGCCGATGATGCAGGTGACGTCTTTAGGAAGGTCTGGGAAGTGGACGCTGTGGTACTTAGTAAGCCAGTCTAGTGTTGGCACCGACTCCTTGTCTATTTGTACTGGCTTTATCAGCTTGACGCCGTCTCTGTCTGCTGCCTCCTGGTCTTCTTTAGGTACATTCAGCTGTAGGACTGTGGCGTACACGACTGCCTTGTCCTGCAGGATTTGGCTCGCCTGGCAGTTGATGGTAGAAATTCCTCCCTTGGAAGTTCCATACTCGTCGTTGATCAACAGGATTATCGGTAATCTGGGACCTGTAGGTTAGCAAGAGCAAAGACAGTAATGAAGTTTAATAATGCAGAACCGTGGTTTTTCAGTCTAACCATATTTTCTAAAATCAATAAATGCCGCTGTCTATTTCGATTTGTTTAAAGTTCTAACGATTAATTGTGTGATTATAAAGAAGCACACAGATTTGGAAAGTCAATATTCATTGGTGAAAAACAAAAGTTACAAAGACGACATTATGAATACACCTTTTATCCGTAGGTTGCGGATGATAATACATGAGATATGAGCCACCCCATGAGTGACAGTCATACATACAAATAAATTTGAAGACTACAATGGGGGCCTGCAAGGGGGGGGGGGTCCTGACAACGCTCTACGCTGAATTCGGAAACTTCTCGATTACGCTTTGCAATAAATTCCAAGTGGCTACAACGCATTACGTAGAATTAAAACGCGAATTACGCTCTACGCAAAATGCGGCGATTACGCTCTACGTTGAATTGGAGCGGTCCGTCTACGCTCTAGGTAGAATTAAAACGGCCGATTACGCTCTACGGAAAAGGGCTTGCGGGCCCCATACAATGACGCAGCAATGAAGTCATCCTCCTATATGATATCTTATAAACGTTTCTGTCGGTATTTGGATGTCACTATTGATAAATAACCACAGTGACTGCCCCTAGCTGTCAAAATCATAAACATAATACATGGCTGTGTATTATCTTAATAATTCCTCACTGTTTTCAGTAGAAGCTGGCGTTGGCGTTGATTCTGAGGAAGACAATAAAAACTCATATTATCACTCTTGTAAGGGACTTATACCAGTTCGATTCTTTACATCAACTTCATTTTACAGTGAGATTGTATAGACATATAATGACTATTGTTGCGTTACTAAAGTTAGGTGTATTTAGTATCTAACCTTGATAGAGCTCTTTCCATCAAAAAGCTCTACGATTTGCTTCTAATCTCGTTAAAGCAATGGCATGTTAAAGGCCTCAAAGCTATATGGTAATGACCCATGAACTTAATTGTAGAGAGTACATTTCAGCATGCTTACCCAGAAAATCAGGTCGCTGCAATTTTACAACGGTATCGAATTCTTGCACTGTCGCTCCACTTGAGGCGTCCCGGATTATGAATATAACTTTTCCTTCATATTCAGCTTTTTGCTCCACACCGTCTTTCACCCTCAGTCTAACCCGGAGCCTTGTACTACTAGTACTAGTAGATCTATATAAGACCTTAGTTTCACCCTCATGTGCGTCCCGAGGGTCGGTACCCACGTCTTCATCATTACTGAAAACCACCTCCACCCTTTGCTCCTTTTGAAGAACCACTCGTTGCCGCATTCGAGACGCAAATGTATTGTTACTTGTTGTGAAAAAGTCACTAATGTTGTCGCCTTTTTGAAGGCAGATGAGATGCAAGTTTCGTTCGGGAAGAATGTTAACTTCTGGTGTGACAATGATATAGACTTTATCTTCAATGTGGCCGTTCCAGGTCTCTTGGCACCAGCTAACTAGGCTTCTACCGCAGGTTTGCAGAATGTTTACCACCCAGTAGCTATATGAAATGAAAATGGGTAAAACATAATGAAACATTGGTCCCGATGGAAATTCACAAACGGAAGCACATGTACAATTGTTCGCAGTTGCCTTGAGTTAGCAAAATATGATTGAAGAATATGAGTCAGCCCTACGCATCGTGATTGGTTTCCATGGAATAATAGGACTTTATCGTTTATGTAGTTACTCCAGATCCTGCTGAAAATGTCTTTGATGCGGCTCAAAAGACCTTCTATCACACAATATCTGAAGTAAAATCATAAAAGTGCACATGTAATCAGCAAAACTAAGCATTTGTATTGTTGGGAATTAACTCATAGATCTCCTCACAGCCTGGATGCTGGTGTATTACAGGGTTATAAAGAACAGAATAAGAAAGTGTGAAACAATGCGTCAACATATAATACAAATATAGAAGCCACAAGCCTGTGAACATACCCGTCAAAGTGATCTGTCTGAAACCTGATGCCACCATCTTCCTCGTGAGTTTTTGTTGGGAAGACTGTCCAGCCTTCGTCCCGGTCATAGTGCAAAACCACCGTTCGTGTCTCTTCGTCCTTCTGTCCAGTTTGTGTCCAAACCCAGGGCAGGCTGACTGTGACGGGCCGGAGGAACCGCTGTGGGAAGTCCTGCTCCACTGTCAGGACGGCGGAAAAGGCCGTAAACATAGTCCGGACGTCCTCGTTAACTGGTACGGCTTCAACCTGAGTGTACATGTGTAGATTAAGACTGATCATGGAAAACTTGCAATGATAGGAACAGGAAAATATTATGACTCAGTGCAAGCAGGCCATCAATCAATCGTACTACGCGGGCATCGGGAACTGATGCATGGCGACTGCAGACATGCACATGACCCGCCAGGTTGTTCTGTTCCGTCGCAGACCCAATCATACATATCATATCATACAGACCATATCATAAATATTATACACAGAAAATTTTAAGAATTCGCAAGACGAGAAGGATTTACCTCGACAGAGATGAACCGCGTGCTTCTAACACAGCCTGCAGGAAACTCCAGTGTCACGCCGCTGTGCTGAACTGTGCAGCCGCGCGGTCCTACCGGAAACGTGGGGATGTTGGGCGAACATGCCAACAACTGCTGGTAGCCTGGTAGGTCAAGTAAATAATTACACCTTTGAAGCATGGATACTACTGCCACAACTACAACTTAATCTCCAATAACAGAGACAAAGTATACATAAAGTTCAGAAAGTTACTCACCTCCCTGTTTACCTTGTTGAGTATAATGATGATGACCTTGCTGAATAAACGTGGGGATGTTGGACGAACATGCCAACATCTGCTGGTCGCCTGGCAGGTGAAAAAAAAGAATTACACCTTTAAACCACGGATACTACTGTATTTTATGCATAAACATTCTATAATGTTCACTAAATCATTATCAAGATCATAAACTCGACACAACTGCAATTCAATATCCAATATCAAAGACAAAGTATACAGAAAGTTCAGAAATTTACTTTTCTGTTTACCTTGTTGAGTATGATGATGATGACCTTGCTGAGTAAACGTGGAATACACCAGACGGTAAAGCAATCCAGGCCACTCCTTTAGAAGTGCAGACAGCTTGTCTTTCAGTGGATCGATGACGGCCCAAATCATCTCCGTTCCTTGGACTGCTTGGACGGTGAGTTTCACCACGATGTTAACGTGCTCGTGTTTCATCTCGCGGTAAACAATCACGGGAAGACTATCTCTAACAGCCACAATAACGTCTTTCCAGTCCTGTCGGGTCTTGATGAGTTTGTTAACCACAACGCTCAATCGCTCAAACAGTCCCCGCGGGCAGAAATGGGTCAGCTCACACGTTACAGTGGATTCCTGTCCGGTGACATCCCTGTTTATAGCCTCTGGTCTTTCCTCCTGTATGTACCATGGGATATAGTATCCCACTGGTACTGAGGTCTCTCTGGGCCGTTCCGTGTAGCACAAGCCGAAATGTTCCATCAGGTTAGTGATCACATCCACGTTTCCTACCGGTCTGGCATGTGGTCCTAACAAGCCGATTACCACCTCTCTCGGCAGAAAGCCTCGGCTGGACAAGTTTTTCCGAACCTTTTTCAACTTTGTATTCGAGAAGTCCTTGAGACGTGGATTTGTGTTCTTGAAAACCTTCATCAAGTCGTGATGAAACAGTTCCTTCATTACGTCTATCAATCCCGATGGATCATGAAATATGAGATCCTTGAGTTCCGGTATGTCCGTGTACCTGAGGATGGTTCCCACCTGCTGCAGGTAAGACAGGACTGACTCCAGTCTGTCCGCCGTGAGACCTGCAAGCTGCCCTTGCTGAAGACATTCTTCTCGCGTCAGCCATTTTAAGTCGTTACTATGTGTAGTTTGTGTTTCGCCATAAGAAGTCGATTCTGCAGACTGATGTTCCTCGGTCCCCTTGTCACGCAAGTTGCGCAGCAGCCGTTCAAACTCCACCCATGTTTTTGGAAGTATTCTTCGAAGGGTTGGAAACAGGTCCGTGTTGTTTGTTGTGTCCATTATGTGGGCCACTAGTGAGTCCAGCCCAGATGATGGTTCTGCCGAACTGACGCAGTGCACGCCTGTAAGCCGCAGCGGGCGTGTCAGCAGCTGCCGGGTACGTTCTATCTGCTGCGCTATTTCACCCCGATCGGTCCCACCATTGGCCGAACCTTGTAACTTGTCTATTTGCTGTTGTATGGTACGTTGCCAAAATGCATGTTGCTGTGTGAATCTTTCTTGGATGTCCTTAGTTTTCTTCTCTATTTCTGTACTGCTGCACAAGTCCATCTTGCTACCCACTATGGTAACCACCGCCCCCGGCACGCGGGCATTCAGTGTGTCCAGCCAGAACCCCAC